ATTGGCGAAGGGCTAACGCCTTACGGTGGCCAATTTACGTTATCAACTTAGTTGATGATACTAAATTACCCCGGTGTTTTTTCTAGCTAAAAAACTTGACGTCTGGTACCGTTGACTGGAAGCCAGATTTCGCCCTTGGTATAGGACAGTAGTTAGATCTTGCCATCACGTTATCCACTCAACTGTACACAAGAGACATAGAAATCGCACTAACGATTATTGCCACTCTGTTTGGATACGAGAGTCAACAAAACTCCAGCACGCTTGTTTCAGCCAAGACCAAGGAGTTTACGAAGGTGCGAAAGTTAGAGAAGTTTATTGCAGAAACCATGTAATTTCTATCTCAGCCATTTTAAAGTAAAGATGTAATACTTACCGCAGTTTGGGCATCCAAGGGGACTGTATTCTTTGAGTGGTTGTCTTAAAATGAGCAGAATATTCGACAAAGTGGCCGCCGCCGACTTCAGCTCATTTGGCGGGAATCGAAACGCTTTCACCTCAAGCAACGATCTCTTCGTGCCTAGCTCTTAACTCTTTGACTCCTAAGAATGACTAGCATCTAATTTCTCCCTGTGATATCATCCCTGAATCAAATATTACGGTCACGAGAATAAAGGAAATGATCACCAGTTAAGGAAGCTCTAGATAGTTTAACAAATTCTCCTTGTCTGGACCTTTGGAAAGGTAAAGAGAACAGTATAGAGATTATGCATACTGATCGTAGGGTGCATAGGGTTAACTGTACAAATATTGCCTGAACTTTTGCCACTTTCAAAGGCAGACCTCCTCGCGTGAGGAAGACCTGTTGAATCGGGAAACGCGTTCACTGCCTTATCTTTGTAAAAAGTTTTGGTGGCGGAGATAATAGTGTTATGGTGTCTAAATTTCCTATTTCTTGCCAAGTCACAAGAAACCCACAGTCAAGAAGTGAAATTGTGACTGAGGGCTGTTTCGAAATGATGACGTGACACAACTTACAAAATTTTAGGACGGGAAAATCCACTTTTAATTTAAGTGTGTAGCTGCGAATGCACACCCTGAAGAGTGACTAGCATTTACTTTTTCCTTACAATATCAGCCCTGAATGACAAAATAAGGTCATGAGAATAATGGAAATGATCAACAACTACAGAAGCTCAGGATCGTTGAATCAATTCTCCTTGTTGGCACCTTAGGAATTGTAAAGAGAACAGTATGGAGAATATGCATACTGATGTTAGGGCGTAAAGGGTTAAAGAAAGTTTTGCCGGAAAACGCAACCAAGAGAGTAGTTTACCGATCAAAACCGACTTTTCGATCCGGAATCCCTTGCGCTTACAATTTCTGCCTCTCTCAAGAACAACAACTTAAGTTATTATTTGATATGATCCACAGGTCCTTCTTCAGTCAGCCAGAACGCTGTTTAGCTCCGATAACAAAGATGTGTGGGACGTCGTTCAAAAGGTAATAATTATAAGATCAATATCTGAGCACATACCCTTCCCCTGACCCAAGAACGGTCAACTAATATGTTTTTTGGCTAAGGGAAGGGTAGGTGCACAGTTGCGCAGGCACTGACCTTGATCCGAATTATTTTCATTGTTGTTGTTTTTTTTTGCAAGTAATCCACGGTCGATTTCTCGCCAGTTTTTATTTTACTATGCTCTCCAATTGGCCTGTGAAACTCGCGCCCTTGCATCCAGTCACTTTACTGCAAACAGAAGCCAATAACGAGGTGTTAACTGTGGTCATCACACTTATTCAGAAAGCATGCTACTACTAAGATATATTCAGATGTCTGTGGTCATCGCAGTAATCTTTAGTTTTTATCTTTTCCGCTTCGGCTCCAGTTTTCAAAAATAATATCAACGTTCGTTCTGTTGACTTGCACAAACCGTTGACATGCGCAATCTGTAGCAAACGTGGGCGGACGTTAGCTACCAAGACGCAAGTATTAATAGCTGATTGTGATAGTGCATGAAAAAGCACACAAAATTTTTCTTTAAATTCATTTGAATATTGCTCCTAGAAACAAATGAGCAGTGGATTGTGACTTCCTTGTTTATATTGACACAAGCTCGAAGCCACTGGCAGTGAGGTCGAATTTTGTTGGACCAGTAGATATTTTTATGCATACTTAACCCTACTACTACCTTTTGTTGGCCGTGTAAGCCTCTTATCTTGACTGCTGTTGCTTTCAATTTGACAGCACTCCGCAGGGAAAACGGCTCTGTTAAAACAGATGGAAAACTTCAGCGGAAACTTGGCCAGAAGTTTACCGCACTTAAAACGAGACTCGCGCAGATACAGTCGTTGTACCGAAAGCATTTTGACCCCATACACTATTATTACTCTCGATATTTGTAAGAAATATATTTTGTTGAGTTTGCTGTGTCTCTTGGCATTGTCTCTTTGCGGGCTAAAGAGGCCAAACATTCTGGAGTGAAGGAAGATTTGACCTTAACTAACCGGTCAAATGTAAGTACTGCCACTGGTAAATGGTGGCAAGTAATGCGAAGTAATTATGTTCGCTCATTTTACCTCGCAGAACATCAACCAATGCCCTCTTCTTATACCTCACACTACCAATCACGTTCTCCACCACACTGTTACCAATCAAATGTTTGTAATTGTGGTAGAAATAAAGAAAACGATTTGCTCAGTTGTCAAATTTGTTTGTCTAGTATTGACGTTGTAACTTGTGCAAGCAGCAGAGGTCTGACAGAATCAGTGTTGTGTGCACTAAAAAACCTGTTGTCTGTAAACAGTGCAATACTCGCTTTGCTAATAACCTATCATTGTCGTCTCATTTAAAGTTCTGCAATGCCACTGAGGTAAGAAGTGTAGCTATCAAGCCAACTTTGATGACAGTACCTAGTTTAAAGGAAGCTTTACATAGTAGAGGATTAAGCACTGCAGGTACTAAGGAAATTCTAGTTAAGCGCCTTGAAGGTGCATTGGCTGGGGAGGGGTAGTTGAATTATTTTTCAATCAAGTTTAAATCTCCCAAAATATTTCATTTGAAAGTTATTTTTCTTGGTCAAGTCGGTGCACAATAAGGCATACTTGTTATGAGAATGATAACTAGGCTCTCAACAAATTTTGTGTACCAGTAATGTGAGTAATATACCTACTTAATTAGAAAAATATATTTAAATTGGTGAAAAATTTTTTAAATTAGCTATGTTTGTCAGAGGTTAAACCTGTCCAAATGCAAAAGTACTGTTGTCACTGATATCACTTGGTGTGCACTGATATATTACATATAAAACTTTATAAACCCATTATTTTTTTGCTGACTTGCATTTTAGAGGCAGGGTTTCTGCTCTAATGAATTTATGGAATTTTCGTACTTAAAGGTTTGACCACTTAACCCTTTTTATAATAAAGTTCAGATATAATGTGCACTGTCATTGGTTGAAAGAGCGTGCTCTATGAGAGTATAGAGCATAGAGCTGAGCTAAAGCTGTCACGCCATCCGCCAAATTGTGCTATGTTCGACTTTTTCCGGGACTTCTTTTTAGCTTTTTTCCCGATAATTGAAAGTGAAGTTTCGGAACAAGCGAGCCGGCAAGTAGCGACAGAAGAACCAAATAAAGGTTTGTAAACATACCAGGCGCCGTAATTTACGTTATTAAAACGCGAGCAGATACGAAAATCCTCAAAGGAAAAACAAAATAGACATACCGAGTTTTAAAGATTAATTCACGCTCAGTTAGATTGCAGGCTTACGTACGAAAATAAAAATCAAACACAGCTAACACTCATATAGTATTTAAAGTTCAGTGTTCAAAAACAAAACAGAACAAAACAGGAATGATGAAAGATATAACCAAACTGGCATAACTGTTAAAATTCATTCTAATCATGACGGTGTCTGAGCGAATATGATCATGCTGAAGTCCATCGCGGCTCGCTCATCATGGCGATCTCCGGTCATCACAGTAAAGCAAGTCTCAGAAACTATATCGGCCGCCCTTCGAGTGAAAAAATAAGAGCTTGCTCTGATATCTTTTCAGATGCGTTGAGTGGAAAGTCACTGCAACCGATTTTTGCCGTGTCCCGAGCGATCTTCATGTTTCGGTGAATTCGGCTGTCGTTCATTCAAAAAACACTCGCCTTGAACAGTTTGTTTTATACCTTGTCATGTGAAAAAACTCGCGTGTTTTTATGAGCCATAATTCGGCTGAAGTTCACTGAACATTTCACTTCAAGATTCTGTATTAGAGACACTTAGGAAGCGGCTAGAGCACTCAAGAAGTGGGGAGAAACAGTCGACTACGTCTCGTGTTTCTCCCTACACTTCTTTCGCGCTCTAGCCGCTTCCTGCATGCTTTATAACAGAACAGAGCACAGTCAAGGCTTCTCTATTTGTTAAACATGCTAACAACAGCATGAATATTCTCTATACTGTTCTCAATATATTTTACGAGGTGTTGACAAGGAGAATTTGCTTAACAATCAAGAGCTTCATTATTTAATAATTATTTCCCTCATTCTTGTGACCTTATGTTTAATTTTGGGTTAATATTGTAAGAAGAAATTAGATGCTAATCACTGTTAGGGGTCAAAGGGTCAATAACTAATGACCCAGCATTTTGCTTATGTTGACACAATACATTTGTTTTAGTAATGGTTTGTCTTAAATAAAAGGCACAAGAATTTGCAGCTTGATAGTTTTAAGAGTAAGATGAAGTATACACAGATAAATGAAATTTGTATCTAAAAGGAGTAATTCTGTATACTGATAGGATAATTTCATAAATGAATCAGACATCATTGTTAGTCAAATAATAAAAAAGCTTTCAGCTGTTATGTTTAGGTAAAACCATACTTCTATTTATTTACTCCAATGTATTACAGTCTACAAGATACGAAGATTAAATTTTAAAATATCTGCTTGTATTAAAAACATGTTTCCTTCAGAACTTTGTTTCAGATTACATTCAGGGTTGTCATTCTTTTGATATATGAAGTTTCGTGACAAGGTTTAACAAAACATTAGCAAGTCCTGCTGGTAATTAACTGTCAAGCCAGATAATGTTCAAATTCAATAGCTTTTGCAAATTTGAGTCCTTTGCAAATCCTTCTCGATCATAGCACTGCACGCAAAATATGGTTACTACCCTTTGTTGTTTTGTTGAATAAACCATTTGAAGCGGCGTAGTTTGTGTAACAACAACAATTGACTTGCCGCTATAACTTTGAAGCACGCGACCATCCTCGGGGATTTTCTCAAAGTGCCGCTTCTTGAGAAAATTCTCTCCTTTAAATCTCGCGGGAGACCAAATTTTTTTGCAGTGTCGAGCCTTTGGATTAGCGTTATTCTCCTCGCCATTCTTGGTTGTGTCCGCGCTTCCCCTGTAGCCTTTTACTAAAACCCAGATATGTTTAAAGATTTGAAATGGCATAAAGAGATTGATGGGCGCCATAAGACCGGTCATTCTAGAGCGAGCGAGCTTTGCATTAATAGAGAGTCCGATCTCCTTAAGGAAGCCATCCACCAGGGGACTTACAAGCTCCAGCTTGTTACCTGTGAGTTCTTCCAACACGGGATCAACGAATTGAAACGAACCCTCCTCAACCATTCTTTCTCCTTAGAGAACTTCATCTCTACGGAGTTGGTATTCCAAAACCGGTCTCCTCTCTCTGTTTCATCCTCCATGCCGAAAGCCCTTAAACAGAGTTTGTTTGATGTGCTCGCGCTGTCATTATTAGCCGCCATTTTTGAATAAGCCTTTACTTTTCATGCCAACTGCCGCTGACGATTTCTGCGCCAGGGCGCATCAGAGTTGCGGAAGGAAAAACCCTTGGCAACCGACCATCGTGATTTCACCGGTTGGATAAAATCACTCTTCATATTCACCCACAATATCTTGTTGAGAAATAAACGATGACAAAGCTTTGACTGGGCATTAGCATGAATAATAATTATTGCTCGATCAATTGTCTTTAGTGATGCATGTTAATAATGACAAGAAAGTAATGCGTAGTAATATTGTCGTCTGTTAAAAATTTGATTAAATCTGAATTACTTAGGTTTGGTTTTCTTTTCTTTTCTTTTCTTTTCTCACATAAGCATTCCACTTGTTGGGCAGATGTCTATCTTGAATGAGATCCTTTTGGAATGGCTTCTTTTGCACTCAACCCTTCAATTATTCTGTTACAATGTTTTATCTGACGGTGCATAGTACCCGTAGGCCTCCACTTAGATGTTCACTTTGCTTGTCAAGAAAAGATAAATCAGTAGTTTGCCGTCAATATATGCACATGCATCTGTATATACAGCGACTCCAGAGAAAATTTCTCATCGCCAGAAAACATTTTAACGCTAAATTGACTTAAATTCCAAGGGTGTGAGTAGTATGCAGACCCCTCCCAACAATCAGAACATCACAGTGGTGAAACATAACGTCAAAACTTGCAGACTGATAAATATTTTATAAGGAAGGCTACATTCTATTTTCCAGCGAAAAAATCTCCTCATGCTCAGTAATATTCTTCTAATAATCCCCAGGCTTTGCGCACGGTATTCTACAATGTACCGGCTAACATTATTAACTTCACCTGAGGGTAACCTTCCGAAACCTACCCTCGACCCAAAATTCTTTTAAGCGAATAAAGGGTGCAATTCCGGCGATCTAACGTACAAATGCAGTATATCTATCCATCCCTATTTCTATATTTTGAGCACATTCGAGAATCAAAACAATTTAACAGCTCGTACCCTGCATATGCAATGCATCCCAACTTGACATATCCAATATTAACTGCTATTTTTCATTGAATGTGGGAATTCTCGAAAAACGAAATAAGTTTTGCCAATTTATTCAGCAAGTAGAATATATCCTAACATGCTAAATCCAATCTTCATCCCAATTTTCCATTTTCTCTAGAAATAGGGATAAATTGTGACAATTCATCCTACAAGTGGATACTATCACAGCTTTTCCACATCCAATCTTTACCCCTCCCCCAATTTGTTCAATAAACTATAGAAAAACGGGGTAAATCGTGACAATTCTTTCCACGATTAGTTAATATCATGACTTGCAATGTCTAGTATTTACCCTGGTTTTCCATTTTTTCAACAAATTCTAGAAAAACGGGATAAGTTCTGTCAACTCATCACGCAAGTGGAATGTAACCTAAGTTGTCATGTCAAATCTTTGCCCCTATTTTCCTTTGCTTTAATGAATTAGTTCCAGAAAAACGGGGTAAACTCTGAGAATTCATGATACCCTTAGCACCCATATGCCATCTTTACTCGGAGTTTCCAATTTTGCCATAACAAATATTTACCCTTATTTTCCATTCTTTTTTTCGTTTATTAGAGACAAATAAGGTAAAGTCTGACAATAAATCCCACACGTGCGATACATCCTAGCTTTTCATAATCAATCTTCACCCCGATTTTCCGTTTGTTGAGTCAGTTCTGGAAAAACGGGATAAAATCTTGAGTATTCATCTTAAAAGTGGAATACATCCTAACTTGTCGTATTCAGTCTTTGTCCAGGTTTTTTGCATTTTTTCCAAGAATTCTGTAAAAATGGGATAAAATCGGACAATTTATCCTACAAGTGAAACATATCCCAATTTGTTATAAGTAATCTTTACCCGATTTTCCATTATTTAAAGAGAACTCTAGAAAAGCAATTCATCTCTTAAAAAGAATATATTCCAACATGCAAAATGAAATTTTCAATAAATTCTGACAACGGGCTAAATTGTATCCATTCATCTTAAAAATTGGAATAAGTTATGACTCGGACATCCCTGATTTTCTGTTTTTTCTAATTAATTCCAGAAAACGGGGTAAATTCTGAGAATTCATCCCATAAGTGGAATACATTCTAAGTTTCCATTTCCAATCTTCAACTCGATCTTCAATTTTTATTTTCGTGAATTCAAGAAAAACGGGGTAAATTATGAGAATTCATACCGTAAGTGGAATATATCCTGAGTTGTCATATCCAGTCTTTACCCCGATTTTCCATTTTTTTTTATGAACTAATTCCAGAAAAACAGGGTAAACTCCGAGAATTTATGCTACAAGTCGATAATAACCGTAGTTCCCATATGCCATCTTTACCCAGATTTTCCATTTTTTTTTCGATAAATTCTAGCAAAACGGGGTAAATTCTGAGAATCCACGCTACAACGACACGATTAGAAACTTAAAATAACAATACGTTTTGGATCACACAAGATTGCAGTATTCACCATTTGTGAAAAAATCGCTGAGGTAATTTTTAGCTCATGTCAAGTCAATTTAACGGTAGTCTTATTCTTAGCTTCCTGTGTACAATGTTCACCGGCAGCACCTAGTGCAGTTTTTTTCCCCCGTTCACGCTGTATTGTGCTTCACTTGTTTATCTGCTGCCACTTCGTTGTCATGAGGCTCTACCCACCTAATAGGTGGCAATCGAATTGTAGAATAAGTTACATGTACACAATTTATATCTCCTGAAAGTAAAAAGGTAGTTGTCGTGAGGATAGCATCATTTATCGGTGATGAATATCGAACCAGTTTGATGTCCTTTTATGTTTATCAATGTCATCGATAGCATTTTTTGCGAAAAATCGGGTTCGGTTGATAATTATGTCTTAGGATAATAACATACGTATTGAGTAATTTCCTTAGAAAAAAATCAATTTATCATTTGAAATATTATCGAAGCCCAAAAACGCACGGATATAAGAGTAAACATATGACTAGATTAAGTTTATGATAAATTGTTTAATCGTTTGTCTCACGATATAGTCACTTGGGATGCAGATCGCGACGTTTAGACTGCTTGCTGCTTGTCTTCATCAGAAAGATTCTTTAGTCTCATTTCCGACACAGTGGCACCTCCGACGGGACTCGCGAAGCATGGAGGAACTAACCAAAGAAGCAGAGGCTAAATTGCAAATGTTGCTGTAAATTAATGGAAAAATAGCAGATTTTTTAGTCATTTCCGACAGCCACAGGTTAAACAAAAGAGAAGTGTAAAGGAGTATGAACGGATTGTTTTGGTGGAATTCCGAATCCGAAGAAATCCGACAGCCACTTTTACGATGTAAAGGAGTATGATTTTTTTCCCAGATGCGATCAACCTTTATCTTCTCTTTACTTTATTTCAATATTTGAATACATTGTAAAACACGCTGGTGATTGAAATTAGGAAGCTATCAGCCAAAAACCCTGCAATGCTGCCCTAAATTCCCCTAATTTACGTGTATGGAAAGTGCGCCGGCTAAAAGGAAGAAGTTCTACTCGGATCTGAAGAAAAGGCCAGTTTGATTTTCACACTAAGTGAAACGGCCATATGTCACGCTTTTTTTAAGTCACGCAAAAGCAGATTCGAGAAGCATTTGCAAGCAATTTTAAAAGAGAAATCAGTGCTCCAGAGGTATTCAAAATCAGTTTAATGCAATACCCTTGGTGACCTTGAGATATAACGAACACTTTTGCAAGTGAAAATATTTGTGTGAGTCAATTGGTTTTGAAATCGAATATCTTATTCATTCTTTCAGTGCTGGACCTGGGAGACTGACGAAAAAGCAGCAAGCAAATTTCTTGGTTAAAAAGTCATAGACCTTTTCTTAGTAACGATCCGGTATTTCTTCATGGCCACCGCTGCAGCACCTTCGTTTCATTCGTCAAAAGAGACAACCAATTACGCCCGGCTGTGCAGGCTTCTGGTGGATGTCGGATCAGATGTCCTGAGAGAAGCATTTGAAAAGAAGCGTCCAACCGGTAACCTAGACACAGTTTTGTCCAGTCCTCCAGTCCATACAGTGCTACAATCACTGAAAAAGAAAGTGTTAAATCCCCTACAATGGGGCAAACTGTATCCTGCTGTCAGATCCTCAGTTTCATCGAAGAATTTCGATATAACTCTTCTTATGGTCTTGCTGAGGAACATTTGTGGTCTTGCTCCTCCAGCGACAGGCTGGGATACACTTCCTCCTGCCACAGACACAACCTTCGAGGCAGATATCGTTCGTATCAAGTGCTACAGAAACACAGTTTATGGTCATGTCAGCAACTCCTCAGTTGATGACCCAACATTCAATCAATACTGGCAGGACATCCAAGATTCATTGGTGAGACTAGGAGGAACTGGTTATCGAAGTGCTATTGATGATCTGAAGAAGGAATGCATGGACCCTGATTTCGAAGAACACTACAAAGAGCTTCTTAAACAGTGCATCATGGATGAAGTCAGCATCAAAGAAAAATTGGATGAAATTGGTAAAAGCCTGCATGAAATGACAGAGCAGTTTGGTAAAAGCCTGGATGAATTAAAGGAAGCAATCGTTAACCCTATAAAGAAAGCAGAAGACAAAGGTATTGTGTATTGACGGTAAAATCTGTGCACGGCCTTTTGATCTTTCTTGAGAAAGGAAACTTGAAGAGGAAGATTGAAGGGCCTCTGATCAGAGGGTGATAAGCAATTTAACAATCAGTTCATTTTAGTATTATAGAATGCCTACCTTTAACAAGAGCTCAAACTCAGAGAAATATCTTCCACTAGAACTGACCCCTTTCTCTCTGACCCGAAATTGGAAAAAAGACCAGGTGTTGGCTTTTCCATGAATTTTTTGGGTGATAAGCGAGTTATTTATCTATTTTTTTATTCCTCATGCGAGGAGTAAAGAGAACTCACAGTTCAAATAGATTCCCTGCCAAGGTTATTTGCACCAAAAAAACTGCAGTAAGTCCTACAGTATTTGCCTGGTCGGGTTCGTCGAAAGAAAGAAATGGGAAAAAGCTAAAATTCTTGATGAAGTGGAGACGACAGGACGCATTCTCTCCACTAAGTGTACTAAGGCCTCTGGCGTAAACACACACACAAAAAGTTTTCTAAGTCAAAGTTAGTTCCTCCCGTACCACAAATTCCTGGAACCGCAACCGAAATGGGTCGGTTAGTGCTGGTAATCACATGATTTAGAGTAAAATTTAGGATGAAACAGCGCCAGCAAATTTTTCAAAAGCGAACAAATTGCGCGAGCCTGTCGGGCGAGAGCAATTTTTAGTATTTAAATAAAATTTACAAGTGCTGCTTTATCCAGAATTGCACGAAAAAAAAAACATGCGAATACTTTTTAATAATACAAAAGCATAATATGACTCTTTTTTCCTCTTTAGTTGTTTCTTTCTTTCCTTTTTTTTTTTTTTCCGTGTCATGGCTCGCTGGTTCGGCCGCTTGCCTTTACCTTGTGCTGGAGTAGTCGGGCTTTTCCCCAAAAATTTGGGTCGAGATTTTATACTCACCGTCACGAACAATCGGATTTTTGCACTCTTAGTCTCTTAGGTATCGGTCGACAGCAATAATCAGTACAAGAAAGATATCCCACGCCTCATGTAAGGTAATCCAGAACAGTATTAGATTCTGGATTCCACGCTGTGAGTGCTGGATTCCGGAATTCCGGAATCTTCCTCGTCTTTCTTACAAACTATTGCGTGAAATTCCACAAGAAGTTTGTTAAGGGCCTCCGATTCATATTTTTCAATGCACAAACCTTCTAGACTTTTGGCCAGTTGTTTGTGCTTTGTTTTGTATTTTATTTTTTGCATTCTTCATCAAACTCTGGATTAAAAAGATTGTTACCTTCCCCTAACCTCTCCGCTATTTTATTTTGTTACGCTTTTGTGACTCTCCTAGCAATCAAACTGTTTCATCTGTCTACAATCAATTCCAACTTTCTGCTCTAAATCTCAACTTTCTGCGCTGTTTGGGATTAATTAACGTGTTCTCATCTAATGAGCGTTCTGAAATGTTTGCAGGCATATTATTAAGAATGAAATAATTTAACCTTCACACCAACCCCTTGCTACGCTTTTTCAATTGGTCTGTCGGAATTTGGTGTCAATTAATTGCGAACGGATTCGAGATTAACTTGCACCTTTGGAAAGCCTAATTAAAGCAAAACTCAGCGAGTGTGATAGTCAATGAAACAATCGCGTTTCAATGACTCTTCGTCGAGCATTGAAAAAGTTAGTACATGAATGTTTATGAAAATAAATGGAGGTAACGGTTTTCTTTTCAGCTGTAGCAGAATACTCCGATGCGTTAAAAGAATCAATAAGAAGCCAAACCGAGTACCTCGCTAATGCCTCACCGGCCATGTCCAATGTGAGAACAGATCAATCGACGGGTATGACGAGTGTTCACAACAAGAGTACATTGCTAGTGATTCAGATGAAAAGTACCCAAATAACGCCAAAAAGAAAATGCCAGTAGCAGCACTGTGTGCCAAGCTTATCAAAGGAAAAATACTGAGAGGTTCAGTCGTCATGATCACGTCAAGACCCGATGAATCTGACAAAATAAAAGCCAAAGACATCTATTTTGATAGATACGTTGAAATTACAGGATTTTCCGAGCCACAAGTAAAAGAATACATTGCAAAGTATTTTAAAAACAACGACCGAATGAAAAATATTGTAATTGACCACATTACAAAGAATGTCAATCTTATCAGCTTTGCCCACATTCCTGTGCTCTGTTTTCTTATGTGCTCCTACTTTGAATATACTCTACAGCAATCAAAGAAGAATAATCCTCTCCCGGTGAAAACAAGTGACCTTTATGATGAAGTGGTCAACATGTTCGTGCAAAAGCACGATAAAAAGAAAAGAGCCTCTCTCGAAGAGACTCTGGATGAATTATCAGAGCTGGCTGCTCAACTTCTTCTGGAGAGGAGGTTTCTTTTCCTTAAAGAGGATTTGAAAACTCTTGACTTACACGAGTTTGAAAGGCTGTGTGGAAGCGGTCTTCTTCATTGCGGTCCTCCTTTCAGAAAATCTTTTTCTACGACGACTAAACATTTTTTTTTTACACACTTGACTGTCCAAGAGTACTTAGCGGCTCGTTGGTTTGTAAAGACAAGAACAATCCCCCCCAGACATGTGTCTACAGAAGTAGTTCTATTTATGTCGGGTATTTTGTCCAAGCAAAAAGACAACGAATTTGTGGAAAAGTTGATTATCAACAAATTTCTCAGCGACGACCTATCAGCAGATGAATGCACAAGGGGGCTTTTAATTTCTAAATGTCTCCTACAATACGAAGACATCGAGTTTACTAAGGGAATAGTAAGGAGATTTCACGACATATTCTGCATACGTAATGGACGTTTTGATCTTTCTCGCGTCGGGATGGCGTATGTGGACTGCCCTGTTGTGTCTTTTACATTAAATGTTTTTGGTGCGCTCAATGCCGAGGAGGAATCTGAATGGAATAGAATCACCACGCTTGAACTGAGTGGTGGGGAGGTTACCGATGCCGGTATTGCCAGTCTATGTCAAGAATTACAGACACCAACATGTAAAGTCACCGAACTTCATCTGGGTCATAATCAGATCACCGATGCCGGTGTTGTCAGTCTTTGTCAAGCATTACAGGCACCAACATGTAAAGTCACCGAACTTGATCTGGTTGGTAATCAGATCACCGATGCCGGTGTTGCTAGTCTATGTCAAGCATTACAGACACCAACATGTAAAGTCACCGCACTTAATCTGCGTGGTAATCAGATCACCGATGCCGGTGTTGTCAGTCTCTGTGAAGCATTACAAATACCAACATGGAAAGTATGGGGAGCCATTTGTGCCAAAATTATCACTCGTTAGTGATGAAACTCAATCGTTAGAGCTATCAACAAATCGTGTTTTAAAATCAATTTAGTCTCCGCTCTAAAAAATGTTCAATCATTAGCCCTAAGCCTCAATCGCTTGTGTTGTTCCACCAATCGCCGTTGTAAGACTCCAATTAAAAGCGCCAGTTGTAAATCGCTGGTGTTCCGAGACAGATCGATAGCGCTTAATATCAATTATAGGTTTTAATGTCAGTCGATAGTGTTAAACGAGTATGGCTTGTGTTATTTGTAAAATACAGAAATTGTAACGATGCCAATCGTCAGTGCTGCCACCAATCGTTTGTGATAAGTACAAATCGCTACCGCAAAACATCAATCTTTAGTGCTAGTATCGACTTATTATCGATTCTAACTTGAACCAGCTTGTTTAGCAAAGATGAACCAATCAAATCTTGCTTACTTTCTTGCAATCTGATAAGGGACATTAAAATCCAAAAACATATTTTAAATAGTTCTTTTTTCATACTTATAAATGCCAGGCTATGTCAAGCATTGCAGACACCAACATGTACAGTCACCGCACTTAATCTGCGTATAGTATCAGATCATCGATTCCGGTGTTGTCAGTCTATGTTAAACATTACGGACACCAATATGTCAAGTAACCACACTTTGACAGAGATGGGTGTTTACACAATCCTGATGTTAACCTGGATCGAGTAAACGACATCATCAGTTTCGTGATCAGAATATTTCATGATTTTTTCCAAATTTAACTTTCTACGGAACTAATGCAAACATTTCACAGGGGAATTCTCTATTATGCTTCTCAAGTTCAAAGAGGTGAAAACTTGATTACGGAGGCACTTCAGTGTTTGACGTTGAAGATAGGTGAACCGATTGCAGAAAGGAAAAACATGATTTGCTTTGAAGGGAAAAGAAACTGACTCTAACGACTCTTAGTTATCTCAGCCGGATAGGACACCTTATAAGCAGAAGAACGAGTTCGTGTCTAAGGTAGGGAATCCTGCATCGTCAACGAGCTGTCGTCTTTAGGTTAGAATCTCATTGTCTCGGAAGTTCTTGGAGTTAAAATGTATCTTGAGGGATTGTTTTCTTTGTAAACCGTTGACAACACAACGCAAACCTGCAACAATGGCTCGAAAAGCAAGTAACATCGAACAACAAGAGACGCTTATACTTACGAGTGTTAACGACATCAGTGACGTTTTTATAAGACTCAGGAGCCTGTTAAAAAGCTGAACAAAAATGCACACAATTAACACACATTTTCTTTTTTTAAGATTTCAACAGCTTTTGATGCAGTGCCATGGAAGCTACAGCATGAAAATGAATTTTAAAAAAAAAGGCGGCCATTTACTGATTCGTTACCTCTTCCATAACCAGTTTTGGGGAAGCCACTCTTATTGAGATTCCTTTGGATTTAAGACCATTGAGAACTTCTTGATAGTCAATATTTCGGCTGAAAGAGAATGGAAAGGACAATTAAAACTGCATGAATGGAACTATGTTTATGACTAGGTCAAGTTGGACCAGCTGATGACTTTATTCTTAGTACTACTAACACACACCGTGACTTTGATTTTGATAATGCCCTTCCCTGAAGAAAAATGGATAGATAGATAATATATATATATAAATATCCATTTCAAAATACTTTCTGGGAAAATGGGAAAGAAAAAATCATAACAAACAAACATATTTGCTTACACGTTTCAAACCTTATCCAACCCAAGGTTTGAAACCAGGAAATGCTGTGGTCATTTTGCATTTTTTATGTCATCATGCTTTCAAATCAAGAAACAATATTGCGTATAATATATGAACTTACCGCTCCGTGACACGTGGTACCAAACGTCTGGTTCATTCCCTTTTCCGTTCCTGTCAAAACATAACTGAAAACCAAACAAAACATGGAACAATTTGGGTCTCCATGTCTGCTCAAGATAACCAATAGTTTCGTCCCTCGTGAAAAAGTGTTTTTCATAAGGCTATATGTATAGGGATCGAAAACACCAACAATAATAGCAAACACCTACAATAATAACAATACCTTTGAACGTTACTTCCCCGAGACTACTTTTTAACTTACCTACACCTACACCTACACCTACACCTACACCTACACTTTACCTTACCTACACGTGCCCATGGTTCCTCCAATCAGTACAGGTTGACCAGTCAACTGATAAAATAATGGACAAGACGATGAGTACATGTATCTCAGCAAGAGCAAAGAAAGTTTTCATTAATTTAGAGTCGTGAAACAAAACGCTGCCTGTTGAGCCACCTGCGCCCTCAGTCGAGAAAAAGGAGCCAAGGAAGAAGCGAATAAATGAACCCGAAGACAAAAGAACGTAAAAGTAAAACAAGAAAGGTGCTTGCCCTCAAAAGGAAGTATGGTGCTCTGCGGGTTCCAATCATCGAGCGATTGAAGGGAAACGGAGGGAAGGGAGAATGAACGTGACGAAGAATGCGATTAAAACTGGGAAAGAAATAGCCCAACACGAAAAGTGTTGGACCAGTAAAATAACCTTGGAGCGAACGACTGTAAGCACTCAAACAACGATTTCTAACTTAAAAAAGTAAAATAAAATAAACCTTAAACCTTGCGATCGAAAGGAGTAGTAAACAGTGAATAGCCGACCTGATAATCCACTGGGATAAGCGGATGATGAGGAGGAAATGCACGGGTTGATCCTTTCCTGTGTACTAAGAGAGTCTTCTGTACACCGTCCAATATCTAATCTACTAGCTAAGGTAAGTAATTAAGTAATTTCAAAAGTTAAAATAATTGTTAAATGCTGAGTAAAATCTCTCGTAAACAATTAGTGTTTCTAATTGGTTAACAGTTTTAAAACCTTTATAACGTATGTTATAAACAATTTATGTACCTAAAACTTTATAAAGGTTTTCGCGTAAAAGCTTCATCCAGTTCTTTTGTTTAGTCCATATGGCTGAAAGGAGTTTAATGTTCTTTGCCAAAAAATCTCTCTTTCTCTAAGAACTTCTTTCTTTTTGTCAGTCTCTAAATGAGATCGGATTTGCTCTATAATGGTTATGGTAACATTATTGTTAAAGTCGTGAGTTCGTTTGTTATGTAAAAAGTGTTCCGTGAGTTCGCAGCTACTCACTCCCTTTTTAATATGGTTTCTGTGATTGTTTAACCGTAGGTTAAATGCAGTTTCGCTTTTGCCAATGTATTGAAGTTTGCAAATGTTGCACTCGATTATGTAAATGATCCATGACGATTGGCAGTCCACTGTATGAAATATGGTATAGGTCTTGTTGTTATTGGGACTGGTGAAAGTTGTGGTCTGGTTGATCTTTTTACACCAACTACACTTCGTTCTTTCACATGCTCTACATCCCTTTGGTATCAAATTCTGAGGTGTTTCATTTACAAATCTTGAACGAACAAGTCTGTCTCGTAGACTTTTCGGTCGTCGGTAAGCTACTAAAGGTGGCTTGTTGAAGATGAGTGATAATCTTTCTTTTGATTTGAGAAAGTTCCAATTTCGTTTAGCAATTTCTGCAATAAATGTGGTATGGGGGTTGAATGTAGTAACCAGAGGAATTCGATCTGTTGGTTCACGTTCTTTGGTCTGTAAACATTCCTCTTGAGTCAATGTTAGCACTTTCTGCATTTCGTGGAGAACTTTGCGTTGTGCATAACCACACGCTACAAAGAAATCCGAATATTCCCGGATTCGTTTCTTCAATGTGTCTGTTGAAGAGCATATTCGCCTCAACCTCAAGGCTTGACTGTATGGGATGCTCCGTTTCAGATGAGGTGGATGTGCTGATGTCCAATGGAGGTATGGATGAGTATCAGTTGGTTTCTGATAAACATCTGTACTGATGTTGCCTTGATTGTCCTTTAGAACGGTCGTATCAAGGAAATTCACTGAATGTGCAGAGATTTCGTGTGTAAACTTGATTGAGGGTGCTACACTGTTAAGGTAATTTATGAAATTAATCAAAGAGTCTTTATCACTTTTCCAGATAAGGAATATATCATCTATAAAGCGTACCCAGAGTATGATATGGTCCATCCACTCTGTTTGGTACACGAATCTTTCTTCAAGTCTACCCATGTATACGTTTGCAAAGTTGGGAGCGACTCTGGTTCCCATGGCTGTTCCTTTGATTTGAATGTAGTGTTCATTGCCAAAGGTAAAGTTGTTAAGCTTAAGAACCTTCTCGAGGAGACACGATAATGTCATCGGTGATGGCTTGTTCTGGTTCGTTTTGCCTAGCTCTTCCTCCACAATAGTGAGTCCTTCGTCTGTGTCTATATTCGTATATAGGCTTGATACGTCCAGAGTTGCTAAGTAACACTTTTCGGGTAACTTGCCCAAACTCCGTATTCGCTCAATGAAGTGTGTGGTATCTTGTATGTATGACGGTAGCTTTTCTGCTATATCAAAAATTCGTCCACATAAGCTGATAGCTTCTCCGTGTGGCTGTTCACGGAGGATACTACTGGTCTACCTGGATTGTTAACTTTGTGTATTTTGGGGAGCATATAGAATATAGGAGTCCTTGATTGTGCTGGTCTTAAGAGTTTAGCTACTTCTTCTTCTAATTCTCCGTCGTCCATAAGTGTATCTAAGCTCTGGTTTATGAGCTGTTCGTGTTCAAGAGTGAGATCTCTTCCTACTCTCTTGTAATATTCTTCATTGTCTAGTTGGCGTTTAGCCTCCTTTACATAGTCCTTTGCATTCATGATGACCGTAGCTCCGCCTTTATCTGCGGGCTTGATGATTATGTCCGTGTTGTTGCTTAGTCTAAACAAAGCTGCTCTCTCACGTTTGGTTAGATTATTACGTGGAGATCGTAGATTGTGCAAAGTCTCATCACTGATTTCTTGCCTTAATTTGTCAATATATGTATTAAGGTATGGTTCCCTTGAAGGTCCAGTATACACCTTGCGCTCCTTCTGGTTCAATTTTTGAAGAATCGATGGTTGGTATCCAGGGCCGTCTATTACGTCTTCTATATTCTCAGGAGTGTGATATTCCTTAAGGGTTAGTCTACGGGCAAAGGCATCAATGTCCTTACTGATTTCATATTTTCCTGGTGGCAGTGGTGTTGGGCAAAAGTTAAGTCCCTTACGTAGAAGGTTTGTTTCCGACTGCGTAAGTTGAATGCCAGATAAGTTTACTGTTCGTCTATTTAAAATATTCTCTATCTGTGTGGATTTCTCACGTGTCATTTCTTTGGGTTTGACTTTACTCATTGTCCATTTCCGTTCCGATGTCAAATTTCCGTTGATATCTTTTCGGTTTGGTTTCAATCTCAATCTTTGTATCTGTTCCTGGCGGGTGGGCGACCGCTTAAAAAATACCGCCGTTGTGATTGGCGCTTACCTCCTTCATGCTGGTTGTAATCTAGTGATTGTTGTTGGTAGCGTCTGTAGCCCCACTCTCTGTCCCTTGATGATCTTTCATAGTACCTTCTTTGGCCACGTTCTTCAGGTGGTATTTTTCTTCTTGTGGGGTCTGACTTATTTGGGGTCAGTTTCTGACGAATGTGTTTCTTGACTACTTCTGCATATGTTTCAGTGCCCCGATCAAGTGGTTGATGTTCTGCCTCTTGCACCGGTTGTTTGTTCTTACGGGCAGTTTCCAGCTTCTTTTCTTTTTTCTCCTTTAGCTGTTTTTCTTTCGTGTCAATAATTGATTCTATTTCTTGTTCTACTTGTTGCTTGTCCCTGTCCGTCCAGTCCTCAATCTTCTCGAGTGACTCGAAAGTGTCGGCTATCACGGCAATATTTTGTGCCAGCTGCCTCTCGTAGTGTTCCACGAGACATTCCGCGAGCTGCCGTGAGCAATTGCTTAGTATTTCTTTCCATTTGTTTTGGAAGGTTTCATCTTGTCGGCCTGTCGTCGATCGCAAATCAATGGTTAATCCTTTCGGAATAATATCTTCCTCTATGCATGTTTTCAGGAATTCAACGTGTAGTTTCATCCTCATGTTTTTTTCTTTTAGGGAGTACACTTTCCATCCAAGATCTGTTGGTTTTTCCGTTATTTGAGGGTTCCTCGCTGGATTCGCTGTTTCGATGAAACTAGCGGATGGTGTAACATCGTCCTCGCTGCTTTGCTCGCGCTCGTCCGTGCGCTCGTCCGTGCGCGTATTAACTCCTTCGTCTTGATTCTGGTTTCTCCTTGTATTTCTCTGTTTCCTTGTCGAAGCCATTCTATAAGGTTATATATATATATATATATATATATATATATATATATATATATATATATATAAAATCCAAAGAACTGAAGATATTGTTGTAAGAACAATAAAGAATACATGTTCTTCGATCTTTGCCATGTTGTGTGACACGTCATAGATCACTTGCATGTCTAAGTCGTCCGGGGTACTCTTGAAAATTTTTCCGAAAGCTTGTCTTGTCAAAAATGTCATCGTTGAACGGTTGACCCAGGCGTAATTCGCTGCTGCAGCCATGCCTTTGAGGTAATCTTAACCTTCTTGTGAGTTAACTCTGGCACAAGCAAGCTGTAAAGGAACCAATTATATGGTTGTCAACACTTGTGTTTAAAACGAGAAACAAAACGTCGGAACCATCCAAATAAGGGGAAGAATAAACTAATCAGAACTTACGATTTCAGACCCGTTAGAGTAGAGCATTACAATTGTGATTGTTTGTCGTAATCCTTAGGAGAAGCAAGCAGTTTAGACGGTTGATCATGAAAACTTTTGTCTCAGTAAGTTGCCTTGCTCTAAAACCGACAAATAAGGGAAATTGGAGAAGACAAAATTTACCAGGCTAAAAACATGAATGATTTAACGTGAACTCTTATACCCTGGCTAAGTTGAGCTTGCGAATCCGATTTTCAACTTCATTGTTTTGAGAACAGTCTTAACTTCTCTGATTCCATCGCTAATGAAAACGCACTATTTCTCCACGTGCCTTTACAGGGCCGTTCGTTCAGCTGACCATTGATCGCAATGTGAAAATCGACTCAACAGATACCAATAACGGAAAAAAGAGACAAAGTCAATTTATATTACACCTATCACGGCGAAACTTCCCCAAAACCATCCAACTATAATTGCACTGGGAGCAATTGCTCATGTAATGACGTATAGAGATATCATTTCTGTAGATGTGGTAAATTAATCAAGGCTCGTTATCCCTACTCTACTAAATTAGATGCCTGGATAAAAATACTTGTTGGAGAAACTGCAAACAAAGCTTAAGGGAAATTCTACTTTAGCAAGTTCCATTTAAGAGATGTCATTACAAGTTTCTTTGTCAATGTAGACGGCCATGACAAGTGCAATTGTCGTGGAATACTTGACAAAATACAAACTTAATGCACAGACTTAAATGCACTACACTGTTAGCAAACCTGTCTGTCGTTGACTTCAATCTTGTCCCTTTTCATGGCTTTCTCCATTTCTACCAGTGCATCTGTAAAACGAAGAAATCAAGAATGCATGACTCGGGTGACAGCGATCACCTGGAAAATAATCAAGTCTTGCCTTCTGTGGAGACATAAGTTAAGTCGATAATACATTCATTTATCTATTGTAAAGAGAGGAACGGTATATAAACCATTTACCAGTGGCCACTTGATGTCCAAGTCCTCTACTGCCACTGTGGATCATCACACAAACCTTTTAAACATAAATTATATAATTAATGACAAGATCATTAGCAACCAAACTAACCCTAAACTAAAGAGTTCTAAGTGAGACCCAGTTGAAGCTGTTCGAGTTGGTAGTCGTGGTAGTTGGTAACTAAACGAGTAACAATTGATAAACACAAGAACTGAGAGATAATTATTATGAGGTTTGAAATGTAACGAGAGAGACTAAGAAAAGATCTTTCCTACAAGCTCAAGAGAAATATCAAGCAGCTTTCCTAAAAGATCTTCAATTGCTCACATGCCTCACTCCTTGCAAGTCAGAGATCCCATGAGTGACCAAGACTTAATTTCTACTTACAATATCAATACAATATCAACCAGAAAAGAATAAAGAAAAATATCAATTTGCGGATAATTAGTTGATCCAATACATAATTCTCTGAACTAACATCATAACAATTGTATGGTTGACAGTATGGAGAATTACAAATTTGATCTGGGAGTTAAAGGGTTAAGACGTAAGTGCCCTTTTTTCTACCTGTCCAAGATGATCAACTCCCATCTTCTTTGCAGCATAATTGTCGTAAATTTCATCCACAACCTGGATTTCCGCATAGTGATTCCCCGCTCCAAGAGTGCCAAGCTAATCAGTGGAGAAGATAAGCCATAACAGTTATCCTTCGTCAGCTTTAGGGTTTCTAATGCTGACAAAGGGTTAACGTTCGAAACGTCAGCTTTAGGAACTCTTAACGGTGGCTAATTTACACATCAATTCAGTTCATAAATCATCTTATCCTGCTATACCCCCTAACGATACAGCACCGCAAATTCCCTAAAAACTTACCATTTTACTTAACTCAAAGCCTACTTAGAGCTTGAAGTAATCTGTACGTTTGAGAACAATTTTGGTCGAAAGGCGAAAGTGATCTGGACGCCACTGGCTACTAACACTGTACAGTCATGGATGGAAACTCGTGCCACTTTCTCGCAAGATCAGACCAGGGCGTGGAATTGCGCCTAATACAGGCGCCAATGCGACTAAATTTTTCACTTTGGCGACCAAATCCTGAAAGTTAGTCGCCAAATTGGCGACTAGAACGTTTCATCATAACCTGACCAGTGAATTAAAAAGATTTGCAAAGATAAATCCGCGGCAAACTTCCTCGTTAAGTTTGTTTCCAAAACGTAGCACATGCATCTCGATCGATAACTAGACGCCATCTTGGATTTAGATGAGCCTGAACGTTGTATATCATCCATCCTAGTGTCCACTTTGTAGCACGTTAAAGATCTTTTCCCTAACTTAATTTTGGAGAGTCTATCTAGAACGCTGACAGCGTAAAGAAAGATTTTGTTTGTCTTTGAAAATGGCGACCAACTTTTTTTGAATTGGCTACCACTTTGAAGAATTTAGGAGCCAAGTGGCTATCAGAAAAAAAAGTTAATTTCACGCCCTGCAGACGCAACTTATTCTAAAATCAGTCGCGACATGGTACTATATGTAGCCTCCCTCCCTCCCTCCCCCTCCCTAGCTCTGTAGAGTTTGCTCAATTTCGTAATGAGATCCCACTGGTTCCTTGCCATATTTGACTTTGTTCTACTTGCTCGTTGTAATAGCGTTCCCTTTGATTACAGAGGACTTTCGATAAAAGAGCGCCTTCACAACAGGCTGCAAAGAATCAGTCATCAATTGCGCTACCCTCGTCGCGCAGTCAACGCTCGTATCAAACGCTCCTGCTTATTTTATTCAGTAAGAGCTACAAATGAAACTTCTGTGCTTCTGTATTTACCTGCGGCAAGCCTCGTTTCTTTGCTCTACCCTGGTGAAAATCTTTCAAGGATCTTTAAGGATCTTACAAGATCTTCATGAGGACCTTTGAGGATCCTCTTGAGGATCTTCATGAGGATCTTCAAAATTCTTGTTAAGATCTTCAAGGATCCTTCATTTTCTTGCCAAGATCTTCAAGGATCTTTGATTTTCTTGCCAAGATCTTCAAGGATCTTTGATTTTCTTGCCAAGATCTTCAAGGATCTTTGATTTTCTTGCCAAGATCTTTGAGGATCTTTGACTTTCTTGACAAGATCTTTAAGGATCTTTCATTTTCCTGTCAAGATCTTGTCTGGATCTTCAAAGATCTTTACATGAACTTTGAAGATCCTTTAAAGATCTTTGAAAATTCTTTGAGGATCTTCCAAATTCTTGTTAAGATCTTTGAGGATCTCTCATTTTCTTGCCAAGATCTTCAAGGATCTTTTTGAAAATTTTGAAGATCCTTAAAGATCTTGGAAAGAAAATAAAAGACCCTTAAAGATCTTGGCAATAAATTGAAAGATCTTTGAAGATCTTGGCATAAAAAAGAAAGATCCTTGAAGATTTTGACAGCCAAATTAAAGATCTTTGCAAGAGATTTGAAGATCCTTAAAGATCTTGACAAGAATGTCAGTGAACCTTGAAGATCCTGGTAAGGAAATGGAAGATCGTTGAAGATCTTAGCAAGAATGTTATAGAACCTTTGAAATTTTGACAAGAAAATAAGCATACTTAAATCCTCATACTAAGTTAAAAAGAAAAATTGAACCAAACATAAAAAAATGAAATAAAACTTTTTTTTATTGCTAAACGAGAATTACCCATCCTCTTCTAGTAGGACTACTTCTACACTATTTCTGTTCAGACTTTAGGTTAGTACTAAGATTTTCATTTTCCAAAAAATCTGGCAACAGTCCAGCTCAAAGATAAGAAGACCAAAGTATATGTGTTAAACTTGTCTAGGACTAGACTATGACCAGACTCAGACTACTCTTACAGAGGGGGTAAACATGAAAAAAAGGCAAACAAGAGTACTTCAATGACTATATTTCTGAACCATATTAACCTATATACCAAAGGAAAGCTTAGGAATCACACATACTGAATATAACTAATATGTTGCCCTAAACTAATTTGTTATTTGACATCAGATCAATTTGTCCACCACATGGTGTGAAAAACCTAGGTAAACTTGAGAAAAGATAACTGCACAAAGATTGCATGAAATCAAGTGTTTTTAGTGTCAAAACAAAGTACTAGGGTCGTTCTTTTGGATGAGCTGAGGAACTTTTGGAGTCGTTTATATTATGGGCACAATGCCCGTTCAAAGTTCACCGAGATTATTAGGTGAGTTATTCCACAACATCTTATTTAAAATTCAGCTTATAGAGAAACTGTCAGCTTATCCATTTCAACTCAGTAAGAGGATACAGCCGTGAAAACTTCAGATTAATTGAACTAATACATCCTGAGGTACAAAATAAGTGTTTTCGGGAATTCATATGACAACCTCTAAAAGAGCTTTTTAAGTTGGTTACACAGAACCAAGTAAATTCACACCTTCAGAAACATGTCCTTCAGTGAGCGTCGAGGAGAATCTCTCTAGATCGATAAGCCTGTATCCTTGTCCCTCTAACACATCATTTGCATCCTCACTCTCCAAGAGCTCAGAGTAAGAATCATTAGGCGAGGATGGCATCTTCATTTTCTTTCCAGAAGTACCAATGAATTCTTTTCATTCAGCCCCTGAGTCAGAGCAATCGCGAGACCTGCTTGGAGTTTGATTGACGATTTCGGTTGTTTCCGTCTCTCTTTTCGCTTGTTTCTGAACTCCAGAAAACGCCTTTCCTTTACCTTTATTTCTGTGTACATTTTTCCTTTAGTTCCGACCATTGTCGATGATATTTGCCGTAACAACGAGCTTCTTATGTTTTTATGCGACCGTTAAAAATCTCGGCGCGTATAAATTCCTATCCCATAATGCAAAACCCTATTTGTTGTCATGTAAGTAGTCACAAAGTTTCCCGAAAGCCTCGAGCATGGCGTTGCTATGCGGTAACCTTCATTACACTCATTGTACAATAATTTTCTGCGAAAATTCCTTGTTGTGTTTAAATTATAAAACAGTGAGCCCTCAATTTACAATTTTGTTATGTTTGAAATAACTTGAGGATTTCAAAGGAACCTAATTCATAATGCAGAGATGTGGTAGAGATCTTGACAAAGTTGCCTTTGAGATCCACATCAAATTCAAAAAGGATCCTTACAAAGAGCTGTACAAAATCATGAAATGAATCTTTTAAAGATATTTGGAAGATCCTTTTCAATTCCTTGAGGATCTTAAAGGATTGTAGAACAGATCATGCAAAGATCTTGACTAGGATCCTTGTAACTCCTAATCAAATTCTTAAGGATCTTAGCAGGATCCCTAAAAGGTTCTTTTGAAGGTCTTTAAAAGATCCTCATTAAATCCTTGAGGATCCTGAAGGATCCTTGAAAAGATCCTGCAAAGATCTTGACTTAAGGATCCTTGTAAGATCCTGATCAAATTCCTAAGGATCCTGGCAAAGATCTTTACAGGATCCTTGAAAGGATCTTTTGTAGGTCTTTAAAAGATCCTCATTAAATCCTTGAGGATCTTGAAGGATCCTTGAAAAGATCTTGCAAAGATCTTGAGTAGGATCCTTGTAAGATCCTGATCAAATCCTTAAGGATCCTTGCAAAGATCTTAATAGGATCCTTGAAAGGATCTTTGGAAGGTCTTTAAAAGATCCTCATTAAATCCTTGAGGATCTTGAAAGATCCTCAAAAAGATCCTGCAAAGATCTTGACTAGGATCCTTGCAAGATCCTGATTAAATCCTTAAGGATCCTTACAAAGATCTTGAAAGGATCCTTGAAAGGATCTTTTGAGGGTCTTTGAAAGATCCTTGCTAAATCCTTGAGGATCTTGAAGGATCCTTGAAAAGAACTTTGCGAGGATCCTTATGAGGATCTTTGTAATATCCTTTGAGGATCTTTATCAAATCCTTGAGGATCTTAACAAACGTTTTTGCTTACAAAGATCTTTGAGGATCTTTTACAGATCCTTTAAAGATCTTTTAAAGATCCTTGTCCTTAAGGATCTTTGGCAGGTCTTTGTCAATCCTTGAAGATCCTCAAAGATCCTGTGAGGTTTTTCACCAGGGTAGCACTAACTTTTCCAGGGTCAGCCTGCAGCATTTGTCCGTACTCTTCACAATGCTCCTTATCCTCAGCCCAAGCATAACCTGTAATGAGAAGACAAAATTACATATAACTAAGAAGCCTTCAGATGAACACCAGTGACACCTTAAATATGACCGTCACGATTTTCAACTTCCAATTTTGTTCACCTTAATACCAGGTAACGTAATTTTAAATTCTTTTAAAATACCTCTTTGAGATGGCACATGTACAATGTATATCTAAATTTCCCAGTGACTCTTTCTCTGTTGTCCACTTCTCACTTGCCTCTTTCCGATAAAAACTACCCATTAAGCACCCTTATTTGGAATTTCCTAACTTACCATCACCCAAATCAACTCGAAAATGAATTAAAAACATCCTCACACCTTCTATTAACTGCATGGCTTTCATAAGACACCCCCTTAAAAATACAACCTAAAAGAAAATTTAGGAAAATGGCCAACCTTCTCTTAAGGACCAATCCATCCCCATTGAGAGAGCTTCCTCGAGATCTCTGTTGGAGAAAATGATAAGAAATATTAAAATGACTACAGAAAAAAAGTAATGGACCCAATACAGTGTTAACATTTTAACTCCCAGGAGTGACCAAGACAATTTCTCCTTACAATCTCAATTTACTATCAAGCAGACAAGTAATAAGGATAAAGAAAAATATCAAGTTGGGAATCGCTGGTATCAGTTGATCCAATATCAAATTCTCCAAACTATCATCATAGGGATAGTATGACAGAAAGTAAGGAAAATTACCAATGAAATCTTGAGAGTGAAAGGGTTAAGCTTGTAACTGAAGTCAGAATAAACAGCTTTGACTGACAAGTTGTACAAGAGATGAAAAACTCAGCTTACTTTGCACCCATGGGAATAACACCTTTAGAGCCAACACCAACAGGAATATGATCAAAAAGTGACTGAAATGAGAAGAAAAAAAAAGAAACAAATATTATGGAAATTAGAAATGTTAGCATAACTAACAAGAAACATGAAAACAAACAAACAAACAAACAAACAAAAAACCAAAACAAACCAAAACAAACTAAAACAAAAAATAAAACAGTTCTCTTAAATGTTTTGCTGGTTTGCAAATGTTTCAGATAACTGAAGTCCTCTGTGCTCATTACGTGAAAGATACATTGTGTAAGTACATGTACATGTAGAAATGCACCCAGCCTGAGGCAAGCTAAAGCAGGCAAAATTATGGCAGGTGAGTGCTCAGTATCCTCTAGGTGAAAATTATATCTTAGATACTTGTGGCAGAGGAGGAGTGGGGAGAGAAAGACATTTGTACCAAGGGGGTAAGTGACAGTCAAAAGGAAGAAGAGGAAATTTAACCATAATGTACTTTACCCTGTACCTGTGCTAATTGTTCTTTAACAGGTTTGACATCCTTCTCATCAAGGTTTGTCCTCAGTAATCGCACTCCACAGTTGATATCAAAACCAACACCACCTAACACAGATGATCTTTTGTATGAGTACTTCTCATGATTATAAACAATAAGAACTTCTTTAAAATCAGATTTAGATGGGAGACTTCTTTTAAAGTAATCATACAATGAAAAAATACATTTCAAGAACAACAAGTTGTCAAAAACTTTGTGATCAGTGCCACAAGGATTGTGAACAATTTTTAAATAATATGCATATAATATGGCCAATTGAAAGCCATGCAAAGAAATGGCTTGTGCGTGTCATCACCATCTTGCATGACAAGTAAATATAAAATGACCAATTCAGAACAAACTCAAAGAATAGCATAAGGTATTTCACTGCTACTTTGGTCTTGCTACACTAGCTTGTAATTTTGATCAATCATTAATAAATCTGTTCATCAATTCATTTATGAAGTAGACTTTTTTTTAACTTTACCAGGAGAAACAACTGCTTCCGGAAGAGACATGTCAAAGGCTGCCATATTCCCTACAAAAAGAGAAAAAAAAGAAATAAAAGAAATAGAGTCCTGCTCAAAGGTGAGTTTCCAAATTACTTCTTTTGTGAGAGACAAGCACCTCTTCACTTTTGGCATCTTGTCTCATTAGAGTCACATAAATGCTATGACTTAGAATTCTGTTAATAATAGGAAAAATTACTCCATCTCAAGGAATTATAATTATAATTTTTGAATCAATTTTAGCTACTTTGTCAGAGAATTGCAAAATCTCTTCCAATCAAGGGTAATTACAGCAAATAAGAACAAAGATGAGACTATGAACTATGAACATGCAACCAACTTTAAGAATGAGAGAGCAAGAATGACTTAATTTTGATTGCTTTCAGTATTTCCTCTGAATGGTTGAAGCATACTGTTACTTTTCTAGAACAACCACTGAGCAATTAGCCTATATTAAAAAATAAAATCCAATTTAAACCTGGGTTTTATTTTACAATCAATTGGACATTACATTTTATTTATTACAGATGTGTGAGTTGTAACTTACCAATAGCAAACCCATAGCCAGAATGAACATCTGGTAGTCCAACTGATCTCTGAGGGCCAAGTAAAAAATATGAGTAAACATTTCAGAATAGAAATGGAGATACATAGCCTTTTTTTATTACTGTTGTTTGGTGGTATTGCTTTGGCATGTTGTCAAAATTACAGATTTTTCCATTAAAAAAAAAAAAGATGATAAAAAAAGCTCTGCCTGGGGGTATATTGTCATTCATATAGTCCTATTGACGAGATGACAAGTTCTTTCAGAGATGACAAATCCATCTAAAGATGAATGATATTGTTTCTGAAAGTACTTTTTTCAGGACTTCTTTCGCCTGGAAAAAATATGTGCATTTTCCCTGAGAAGGATATTAGGATACTGGTATTTGACTCATACAATTTCAGAATTTTCTAAAAGTATTGAGAAGGAAATAAAATTTTACCACAGAGAAAGTTCAACAAACCAAAATTCTGAAATAATGGGATAACTGGATGTGACTGGATAACTGGATGCTCTATTTGGCACCACTTTAAGTGAAATCTTTATGTGAAAATACTATGGAAACACAAACTGTATAACAAGAAACTCTTCTGTCATCTCCTCTTTATACTTTCTCTGCTTCCCACGGGTACAGGGTCAGTTTGTTAAAAGCTGAGTTTAGACAACTAACAGTCAGTGTGAAATCTGATTTCATATCTGAAAGCTTTCAAATAAAATTCAGTATGTACAATTCTTTTAGTCTGCAATTTGATGATTGGATGCTCTAAAGAAATTATAGCAAATTATTCTAAAAAGGCTTTTAAACAAAGGATTGAACACACCCTGATTAAAATTAATTTTAACTCTGGGTTAGCACTTATCATCCTTCCAACCACTGGGTCCAGGGTTGAACAAGTTTCAATTACACTAAGTTATAATTTCAACAAGAAAAAGTTATGATCATTCTTACACCAACAATTCCAGGCAAAGCTGCAACATTTGCAATCTGCTTTACACCAGGAAGGAAACCACCAATACCTGGAGAGCAATTTAATTTAACTGTATAAAAGGAATAAGACAAATGCAGCAAATACAACAGTATTATATTCCAAATGTTCAGAGTACTGTACCTTGAGTTCCAGCCCAGTTCTTCAGCTCATCAAACATTAGCTTTTCCAGCAACTCATTTATATAGAAGATACCTTCAACCTTTAAAGAAAAAGAAAAAGAAAAGAATAGTTTGAACTTCGGAGTCGAATAGCTGCAATGCACAGCTCAAGTCTTGTATCTGAAAGAGTGTGTAAAAATTTGTCCATGGTACTAATTGACTAGAACATTCTTGCAACAATTTACAGAAAAACGCCACAGTCTGCAACTTGGGGAAATGGAGATGGATAATGGATACAATTTGGTCAACCCTGTATTAAGTCGTCACCCACGGGAATAAGGCGTTCAATACAGTGCGAGTGCTTAAATACGGTGCCACCTAAGACAGGTTTGACTGTAGTTCGTGAATTGACTGATTGAAACAAAAAAAAAAAAAAAAAAGAGGAAACAGTCCTGACATAAGAGACGTGGAGGGGGGCAGGGGGCTAGGATTTGATCATAACGTGGGCTGAAAAGGTGTGTAAGGGGGGAGGGGGGGTGAACAAAATCTAGTTGAACCAATTTTCGTCGTGACAAAACTTATTTCAAATTACTTTGACGGATATGGCAGGTGTATGGGGATTTATTTTAGATGAACATGGCCTAATATAACCATCCTCACGTATTACATCGTAGGACGTGTATTTTGATGCGCACGCTACTCAGCTGGAGTTGGGCTACCGACCCGATGTTTGGCGCGCGTTCACTTACCTTCATGTTTGGGACAAAGCCTTTCTTAATAAGAAACGAGTTTTTGTTTAAGCGCTCGATGAAAGAGCACTCCTCTTTGAATGTACGGTGTTCTTTCGCCATGTTAGTCCTTTTATTCACGTTTCACAACGGTTTCAGCTGATTCAGCGAAGAGAGAAAAGATCTGTCGCAGTAAATCAGCGTATGACTCCTGTTTGAATCACGCGCAGTACAATTTCTTATCCAGTCTTTCTCTGGCAAGTAATCCATAATGGCGGACGACGTGAGAGTGTTTTTATTAACTCTCTAGGGATAAACCAGAACTGTTGCTGTTATTCAAAAGAGCGTTTACATTCAGTTTCTCAGTTAAAGCTCTTTGCTCATTGCTCCATAATGGCAGAGAAGAATTCGAAAGGGAAGAAGCGGAAATGGGAACCAGTAGAATTGGACGATCCTTCGTTCTTTGCGGGCGAAATGGATGGATTTGTGTCCCTTGAAGTCATGGAAGATTATGATCTAAAAGAACTAACAGGAATTGGTACAAGTGGACCAGCTCGGAAGAAGAAAATAAAAGAGCGGCCGCCGCAGAAGGTGAATTACTTAAAGTGCTTTAAAACCTACCGCGTTGTTAAATTCAGAAAATAAGATTCAAGCACGTGGTGAAATTACTTTGTATTTGACTTAAGTTTGAGTATGTACATGTAACTGAGAAATTGGAAAAAATATATTTGTATGTCAATTTTTTTGTTTATTTATTTTTTTATCATTACTCACCTTTAATTATTAAATGTAATAAATGGGAGAATTTTCAGCAAATTTTATGGATGAAGTCTCCTGTGCATCATCCAATCTTAGAAAATACATGTATGTCATAAATGTATGTTTGTGCAGTCTATACTGACACAAAATTGAGGGTTGTCCATTACATTCAAATTGGGTTGAATCATTTATGTATCGACCCACCAGAAGTTATATTAAAGTTAACATGGCCACCAGGTGGACAATCAGACAGGGTTTGATGCTACTCTGGTTTAAGGATTTAATGAATGTAACCAAAGAAGCTATAATTCATAGACCCAACATTTCAACACTCCTGTCTTGTGCCTTCATCAGAGGTGATCCAAATGCTGCAACAAGAGGTCCTTTTATACCATCACTAATTAGCTGCCTTTTTTTCTGATGAGGTGTAAATAGGCATCAGGTCGTAAACCTACCCACACAGAGAAATAATTTGCTTTCGATTCTCACCACCCTATTTGCCATAAAAAGTCTGTAGCCAAAACTTTACTCAGGAGGGCTGACTGTCTACCATCTTCACTCAATTCGAAGGCTGAGGAGAGGAAATATGTTTCAAATGTCCAAAAGGCAAATGGCCATACAAAGACTCCTCTCCGTAACTACCAAAAACCAGTTACAACTAGTAGCACTCCTGATGAAAGGGAACCAGCAACTGGTTTTGCTGTTATTCCTTACATTCAGGGTGTTATGGAACCCATTAAGAGAATTTTGAATAGCCACAACATTAAAGTTGCTCAAAAACCTTCTCAGACTTCGGGGTATATTTTTGCTAAACCTAAGGATCCTGTCACAAAAGAACAACAAACTGATGCCATTTATTCTATTCCTTGCAATGACTGTGACAACGAATACACTGGAAGACCAAACATCAGCTTGGTACACATTTGAAAGAACATCAAAAAGCAGCTTTCTTTTGCAAAAAAGAAAATTCAGCTTTATTGGAGCACACATACCTAACTAACCATACAATTGGGGGGATAATTCTAAAATTATCACCACTAATCGGCGTTACCACCAGCACCTTTGTTTGGAAGCCTGGCATATTAACTCCACCTGCGCTCCTTTAATGATGATGGCGGCTTACTTCCTGACACCTATTTACACCTTGTCAGAAAAAAAGGTAGCTAATTAGGGATGGTATAACAGGACCTTTTGTTGCAGTGTTTAGATCACCCCTGATGAAGGCACTAGATAGGAGTGTCAAAATGTTGGGTCTATTAATTGTAACTTCTGCAGTTACATTCATTAAATCTTTAAACCAGAGTAGCATCAAACCATGTCCCACCAGAAGTTAATTGGCAGTTAAGTCATCTTGTGATACTGAAAATCTGAATGAACCATCCCATGGCCATGTAAGGTGGAAATGTCCTACTAAAAGTCAAATTTCATGACACTTAATAAATAATCCTCAACCTGTTCCAAGGCAAGGTTGAAAATGTTGTTCAATCAACTCAATTCAACTCAAATGGAATTACTTGACTCCTGAGTTAGATTGGGTGTGTTTGACATCAGAAACAAAACAAACTAAAGATAACTGCTAGTCGTACCTTAAATGAAAAAAAACAAACAAACAAACAAAAAGAAACAACAGCAACAACAACAGTAACACTCTCCACAAGAACTACATGAAAATACATCAAGTCATCAAAATCATTTTGAGAGCAATTTGTCCTTAATTTTTCAAAGACAGCAGACTGCACTGGCCCAAGGGCTCATGCATTTTTTCAGTCTTTACACATACATGTAAAATTATTTGTATTTAAGGATACAGGCTTTTTTTTGGTTTTCTCTAAAATTTTGGCTCACAGAAAAAAAAAATATACAAAAAAGCTACACAGTATTCTCCTTTGATTTTATATCTTCAGGATAATCAGGAACAAACAGATACCACACCACTCACACAACTTGAAAAAAGCACAAAGAATGACCAACAGACAAAAGGAAAAAAGAAGAGGAAAAAGAAAAACAAGGCCCAAAGTAAAGCCCAGTCAGAAGAGCAAAACAGAGTAGAAATGGTCACTGACAATAGACTGGAGGAAGATCCTCCAGGTAAGAATTACTTTCTGGAATTATGGATGGGAAATGCACCAAACAAAGTACAATTTTTTACTCCTATGATTGCACATGAAATGTTCAATAAACAAGAGAATCAGGCACATTTTGTGTAGATAATGTTGTGTTGGCAAAGATATAATTTTCTATAAATTATGTAATTTTACCAATAAGTTGGTTATTATTATGATTGTTATTATTTATTAATAAAGTATTCATTGATTTAGATTATGTAACCTTCATTGACATATTTCATATTCAGCCAGGTACAAATAACTCATTGCATATATTGTGGTTCAATTTTATCCTTGGTTCAAATTTTAATTTCCTTTGTTTCAAACTCATTACCATACATTGCAATACCCAAAAAACAAAAACAAAACAAAATAAAATTTGAGCCAAGGATAAAATTGAACCACAACACATACAACTGTAATAATATGATATTTCCCACCAACACTACAGTATGAGGTTGAGATGCAGTCATTTTTTATAGCTAAATTGTTCATTTTGAATGAAATAAACTGTAGAGCCCACGGCAGATGTGAGTGCTTGGGAAGTCCTTGGTGTTCCCAAAGAAGTTCAGAGAGGACTCAGTGAACAAAGTTTTATTACACCAACCCCTATACAGACTCTTTCCCTTCCACCTGCAATATTCCACCACAGGGACATCATTGGTGCAGCAGAAACAGTGAGTTGAATCAGAGCAGTTGGATTGGTGGAAGTCTCTTTTACTATATCCATTGTTTGTTTACTTGGTTCCACAACTTTTTTAAATAATTATTTTTATTTTTTTGAGAGGGAGAGAGAGAGTGGAAAAAATACTTTTTCAACATGTACATGTATTTACTATGATGTACACCTTGCTCATTTACATACAAGAAGACTTTCCCACACATTATAGCAAACAGTTTCTGTTACTTTAGAGCTGGTCTTTGACCTGAATTAATGTCTAAGTACTAAGAGAGTGTTGAATAATTACAAATATGACTTTTGTTAAAGCACTCTTGAGGAGGGCCGTTGAGCTGAAAGTATGTGTATGGTGTACCTCTTGAAAGAACTCAGACTGACAGACTGACAGATTGAAAGTTAAATTTTAATCTCTTAAGAAATAATTTGATAGTTCTTCCCTCCTCTATAGTTGGTTGGCAGAATATTCTTTATGCAAAAATGTGCATTACAATAACATTGCTGTAAGTTTCTTAGTTCTCATATCATACGTTGGATAATGCTCTGAAATTGTCTGTTGAAGTTATGATAAAATCACTTGAGAGAAGTTTTGATTTCACGAATGGCTGGTTTTTAAGGAGGATGTTATTTAAGTGTATTAATTTTAAAATATGTTTTTACAAGGGTTCAGGTAAAACACTAGCCTTTGGGATTCCAATTCTCACCCACATCCTTGGCCAGAAGACCAGTCAAGAAGCAGGAGAAACTACAGAAAATGCTACCAAAAATAATGCTACAGAAGCCACAGAAACTGGTACTGGAACATCCAAGCTCAAGAAACCACTCCTGGCGTTGATAATGACACCAACCAGAGAATTGGCTATACAAATAAAAAATCATCTCAAACAGGCTGCAAAACATACATCTTTAGAGGTAAACTTTATGTACTTAAATTGACAATTTGGAAGTTACCTCCACAGTTAGATTCTGTTTTCCATTGTTAGAAACTCAATTATCACTTTATTTTTATTGGCATAAGTCAATTTTGTCTCGATAGCCTTTATTTAATACTATTTTTTTCAGTAGAGCAGAAGGCAAACCTATCTCTTGTTTGGAAAGTGTTTTTTATATTTTCTTTTGGAAACATAAATTTGTAGCCTCAATAAGCTTAAGCAACTTAAATTGACAATGAGTCAGCGCTGACATAAACATAAACTGTACAGGGCGTGTAGTTTTTTTTTTCCTGGTGGCCACTTGGCTCTTAAATTTTTCAAAGTGGTAGCCAGTTCGAAAAAAGTTGGTCGCCATTTTTAAAGACAAACAAAACCTATTTTTCTCCGCTGTCAGCGTTCTAGATAGACCCTCCAAAATTATGTTAGGAAAAAGATATTTTACGTGCCACAAAGTGGACACTGGGATGGATGATATACAACGTTCAAGCTCACCTGTTTTGGAAACAAACTTAACGAGGAAGTTTGCCGCGGATTTATCTTTACAAATCTTTTTAACTCATTCGCCAATTTGGCGACTAATTTTCAGGATTTGGTCACCAAAGAGAAAAATTTAATCGTATTGGCGCCTGTATTAGGCGCAATTTCACGCCTTGCTGTATTGTTTTGTGGTATCATATTCTGGGCTGAAATATTTATGTTATCTTCGCCCCTTCATCAGCAAAGTATATAAAAACCCTTTTGTTCAGAGAATTACAATCCTACCCCTTATGATGTACCATTTACCCCCTACCCTCCCCTCCCTTGCCGCCCCTTCTAGTCCTGTTTCAACGTGTATCTTTTATCAGAGAAATACCCAGCAAGCAAAGTCCCTCAAAATTATTTGAATCAATAAACAATTGAAACTGAAATTTATTTTTCCAAGATTGTTGCTGTGGTTGGAGGAATGGCACCTCAAAAACAACAGAGACTTTTAAACAAGTGTCCTGAGATAATAGTAGCCACCCCGGGAAGACTGTGGGATTTGATTTCCGATGTAAGTACCTCATGTATCATAAGTTGTACTGATTCACTTTCTTTTAGAGATCTGAAACAGTCGACACACACTTGTACATGTAGGTATGTTTCTCTTGAGATCGGTTGACCTGTGTAGTTTTCAGCATAAAGTTGGATTTCCAATGTCGCGTAAGTTTTTCCGTTCGTAAAACGCCGTAAAAATAATAAGCACAGCTGTAAGCATTTTCCACTGCTATGTAAACATCATTACCTGGCGTGTTTTTTTTTCTTTCTTTTTTTTTCAATAACCAACAGTCAAATTGGAGTGTAGCCTCTTTATATCAAATGGATGATTCTAGAGATATCTGCTCGCGGCGTTTAATTTCAGGGGGAAGAGCATGTCTGCCGTTTGGAGCACTTGAGATATCTTGTAATTGACGAGGCAGACAGAATGGTGGAGCAAGGCCACTTTCAAGAATTGTCTTCAATATTGGAGCTCATTCATAGAAAGAGGTACATACCACATCTACATTTATATTAGCAATGGACTTCAATTTCCATTGAAACTTTAATTTTTTCAGGCTTCTCTTTCTGAAATGGTTTTCTTGACAGCCAACCTGTAAGCTGAGGTAAATGACTCTCTTTTTATAAAATTTTAACTTTAGTGTTTCTTTTTCGCAGTGATAATGATGAAGATGAAGGAACTGCAAAGCGAAGACATCTACAGAAGTTTATTTTCTCTGCAACTTTAACTCTTCCAAAGTCGTTTAAGAGGAAAGGAAAAGAAAAGAAGATCACAAGTGAAGAAGGCTTAGGTAAATCACGGCATATTTGACTCAGAGTAATAGAAGCTAGAGATAGCATCAACGTATTTTATCAGCTATTACTGAAGGAATGAAATGATTTAAATTATCCATCATTTAAAACCCAAAAATTTGCGGCTTTATCAAGTGTGTCAAAGTTTTTATTGTGTTGTTTTTTCTTTTGTCTTTGTTATCTAACATCTTAGTTAAACATGATTAAGTTGATCGGCTTGTGTTCTTCCGTCAACAGCAATACTCTTTGCATTTTACATTTTTAGTGTCGCTGATGGACAAAGTTGGGCTGCAGAAGAACAGTTGTAAAATTATCGATGTCACTAACAAGAGAGGAACCGTAGAAACCCTGACGGAAGCAAAGATCTCATGTGCAATTGAAGAGAAGGTTTGTAATAGTTGAGCTGACAAGGAAGCGAAACACTTCAAGATCCAGGATACACTTTTTATTACTTTTTATTATTGTTTTGAGCCAAATGCATCTACATGTACACCGCACTGTCTAGGAACATGATCCACGGAGCCACAGAGGTGTACCAAGTGAAATCGAAGGAGAACTACGAAACATACAGTTGTTGTAAAAATCACCTCATTAAGATTTATTTTGAATTTTCTTTCTAGGACCTATATCTCTACTATTTCCTTTCCCGGTACCCAGGCCGTACTTTGGTTTTCTCCAACACCGTGGACTGTGTGAGGAGACTGGGCTCTTTGTTTAGGCTACTGGACTTTGACCCGTGGGTTCTTCACGCCAGCATGCAACAAAGGCAAAGATTAAAGAATTTAGACAGGTCGGGTGAAAACTGATTGAAATGGAAAATACAAAAAACAATGAAACAAACGAAACAAACAAAAAGAAGAATAAAAACCAAGAACAAAAAAAAACCACGAAACAAAGGAAAAAAAACAGCAAAACAGATCAAAGCAACAATTAGGAACCTAATTTTGTAGATAACGTGCTTTTTCCTGTTGCGTCTTTCACGTTCTTTATTCTGCAACTTGCTTTGCGCAAAACACGAGGCGACACGCGTGTTATGTGGCCTTGGATCAGAATCATCATGATCTTATTACTATTTTTTTTTTCATCAAAACAGTGAGTTTAGTTTACGACCTGACTGACCTATTAAACCAATCCTGATTGACAATGGAATTTCCTTTATATATAGACTATAACTGGATCGCCTTGACTGATTAAAACCCGCCCCTCTCCCCCCTCAGAGAATATTTAAAGCTGGATAGGACTTATTTTACACCAGCATAAAATTTTGGCTGATTTTTTTTCTTGCCTGTTAGATTTAAGCAAAGTGCGAGTGGCTTACTTCTGGCTACAGATGTTGCCGCGAGAGGTTTGGACATACCAGCTGTTGAGCATGTAATTCACTATCAAGTCCCGAAGGACCCTGATGTAAGTACGTGCAAGTATGTGTGTACGGTTGGTTAGCTTGTGTCGGTGGTTAGCCTGTGCCGTAGGCGGGAACGGAAGCGATTGCTTTTTGGCGGCAGTGCTTTCATTCTCTGCGAAACTCTACCTTGACAAAAGGCTTTGGGAGGCACGCTGCTTCAACCGACCATGCGTTGACCAAGGTGTGGGCTACAAGTCTCAACTGTAAGAGAAGCTCAACCAGAATGTGGATAGCAAAGTTCGAACGCAGTTGACGCCCGAATTCTTTCTCTAAATTTATTTTATTGTATCTCTTTACTTCTTTTTAAAACTTCATTTTCTACGTTTTTGTTTTGTTTCCAATTTGAGTTAATGTGTGAGGTTTACCTACCGAAATCAAAACATAATTCATTTCAGTTAATTATTTTTGATTTAGATAAAATTGACTCTGTTCTCCAAATGCAGTTTATATGGAAGGATCAGTTTGTTATCGTTTATCGTCCTCAGTTGTATCTCGTTTAATAATGAACTGTTGTGTAATGATGTAACCACAATGTAAGTATTAACTTTAGCGCAACCATCTCATGTGATCCTGCGTTCCTAAATTCTTTCTCTGTGTTCGTTAACAGCTTTACATTCACCGCAGTGGACGGACAGCTAGAGCGAGCAGGGAAGGTCTGAGTGTCGTTCTTGTTGGCCCAGAAGAAATGGGATCATACAAGAAAATTATGAAGACGCTTAATGGAGGTGATGTGTCTTTATTATCTCCAACGTATCTCTTTAACAGTTAAACTCTAAAAGGTTATTTGGAAATCCCCCTCAGTTTGAGGTGCCATTCGTCTAAATTTCCTTTTTAGTTAGATAAATCTTTACGCCTTAACGTTAGTATGCATATTCTCCATGCATACTGTTCTCTATATATTTCTTAAGGTGTTAACATGGAGATTTCGTGTAACAATCAAGAGCTTCTTTAGTTGGTGATCATGTCCCCTATTCTCGTGGCTTTAAAGAGAACCTGCAGTTTTAAAACAAATACTGGTAAAAGGGCTAAAAATATATCAACTCAAGATATCTGGTCCTTAAAACCATACCTGTGACCTTGTTAATTTTTTTTTTCCGCTTTCAAAACTGGCCTTCACGGCAAGTTCGAACTACCCGCGTTCGCCATCTTGTTAGGTAAGCAAGGCATTTTGGGTTGATGACGTGTAATGGTTGCTCCGTTCATTCGTAGTTGGGTTATCCTACCTAATGCGTGTACGGATAGCTTTGTTAACAGGAGAATGAATGGATACCCATTTGATAACAAGGTTAGAGGTTAATTTTAAGTACCCAATATCTTGTGTTTGATACATTTATAACCTTTTTAAAAATATTTACTTGGGGGTGACAGTCGTTGGGAGAAGTTGGAGGTTGGTCACTCTTATGTATCACATGGTTAAGAAAATTTGTCATGGCACGAAGATGATACCCCTCTAGATGATAAATATTTCTTTTAGCCGCAACCAATATTTTAGGAGGAAAAGGTACATCGCAATCGTCTTTAGGAGTTTACTGAGCCCGACTACAATTTAACCCTTTACACCCTTAAAAATCAGTTTGCATTTTCTCCACACCATTTTCCATGAATTTTCTATGGAACTAACAAGGAGAATTTGTTTAACAATCAAGAGTTTCTTTAGATGGTCGTTCCCTTTATTCTCGTGACCTTTATGTTTGATTCAGGAGTGATGCTGTCAGAAGAAACTAGATGCCAGTCATTAATAGGCGTTTAAGGGTTAACTTACAGTCTCTCGTGTCGTTCGTTTGTTTGTTTCATTTTTTTGTTCATATTTGTTTTCTTGATTTTATTCTTTTTAAAATTTTGTGTTGCAGGAAACGAGCTAGACTCCTTTCCAGTTGATGTGTCTTTTATGTCCTCCATTAGGAAAAGAATTTCTCTCGCCAAGCAAATTGACAAAGAAGAACACAAGTAGGTGAAGATGAAAAAAAAAAAGAAAGAAAGGAAAAGAGAAATATGGCAATTATCTTTTGGTTAGCCCTTCGTTTTTTGTTTTGTTTGTTTGTCTTTTCGCGTAAGAAAAAGGCCCAAATTGATAATCGAGCTCGACAGCTCAGCATTTTTCGCACAAAGAATTGTTCACGCAGTTACGGATGTTCTCTCCTTCATTCTCAATTCCTTCCAACCCTCCCCCCCCCCTCCCCTCCCTTTCTCTTTGTCTAAACTCCCCCTTTAATGAAAGCCATCGAACCATATTCACAGATTTAGGCGCAAAAAGTCAAGTAATGACTGGATACTTGCCTCTGCCAAAGCCATGGACATTGAAGTTGACGAAGATTTGTATCTTTTTCGATGAGATAATTCATTCATTTACATGCACATTCTTAGCTCCTGTGTGCTATCACATGGTCTGGGACTAACTAGACTACCAGCCTCAACATCAGTCTTAGGTGGTTTGGGCTTGAATGCATTTATTGTCAGAAAACATTTCAACGGAACGGGCGGAACTGGTGTTCTGGAACTTTACTGTCTTGAAGGTTTGATGTCACATTTTATAAACTGTCCTGTTCAGTTTATTTTCCTTAAAAGAGTTTTTTACAGACTGGAAGATCTCGGAGATCAGGGAGAAAGGAAAGAGCGACAAGTAAAGCTGAAGCAATTGAAAGGTAATCAACCTTTAGTTAAGGCAGACAATGGTTGTACTGACAGTCCCACCAAAAATAATGGATCTTGCAGGCTGATAATATCTTAGTGAAATCAAAATGGGTTACATTTAGCTTGTAGTAGTCGGGTGGGGTGAGGATTATTGTTCCCATGGTTCTTACGTTTGAGTTCTATGTGAAAGTATGAAAAGGTAGTAAACAGTCTTGATTTCCAGCCTTGTGTGGGTCAGCGTTAGCTTAGGCTGTGTCAAGTGCTCCTTTCATTTATTGGTGAAATTTTTATACAAACTATATCAGCGCCGTTTTATTTTACAGCGGAACTTACTGGTTTGCTGAAGACACCTCTGATTCCTGCTGGTTTTAGTGGAAAGTACCCGACTAAAACTGGATCCCTTATGATGCCAGGGATCAAAGGTATTAAGTGAGTAGAGAAACAAGAGTATTTTGAGGGACAAAATAATGTGTTGCTAAACACATCGTTTTGTGATCTTTAGTGAAGAGTATTGTTAATGATTTAAGAGACTTAGTGTCAACTTAGAGGAAAAATCGGAGGAATTTTGTTTTGACAAAAGTTTTGTTTAGAAGAAAGTTTTTAGGTTTTTGTTTGGCTAGGCACCTTTGTTTGTTTGTCCTTTTCTTTTCCTTTATGTTACTGTTTTCCTGTTTGCCATCCGTCTTTGGTTTTCTGGTCCGCTGCCATCCGCTTTTTTTTTAATGAGATAACTGCTTTTTTCTTTTCCTAGTCATGTGCCAATTGTTTAAATGTTCGTTTTATTTCGGTATTCACAGCCGACACGAATTTGGAAGATAATGAAAAAGTGGCTGTTGAAGATGTAAGAAGAAAGAAAAGAAACAAGAAAAGCAAAACGTAACTTGCATTCTTCAAACGAGGTCGACAACTGATCGTGAAAGAAGAAGGGAGATTAAAAACACGAAATGGAGAAAGATTCTTACTTGTAACAACTGGACTGGAAGAGAAAGAGTTGATTTGAGCAAGGTTGACTAGTCAGTGGTAGAATAAACTAAAATCTCGTCTTAAAGTCTTTGACCCCGATGCTATATGGATACAATGTAACTTGAAGCAATGGCGTTCATATATCTTCGGGACACCACCCTTCAGACTCGCGGTATAATACGACTGGACAAAGCAACTAGTCACAGTCTGACAACACATGTCCACTTTGCGCATTTTCTTGATTTGTGATTTGAATTGATTTACAGATGTTTTGTTCTTTACTCAGTGGCCCGAATTTAAAAGTTAGGATTGTTTCAGTCACATATTGCCGTTGGTCATATGAAGATTTCAAGAATGGGTCGGAAAGGAACTGAAAACGCTGTTTTAAAGGGAAATTATTTTTCACATGCTTGACAAATGTTGTCCACAAACCTTTCGCTAGTTCATATATATAAAAAAATTTTAAAAAAATATGTAGATGTGTAGTAAGCAGGAGATTCAGTAAAAGCCGGTCTACCGCCGTTTGTTGAGCAGGGTCTCGTGTTTAGGTTTCATCTTACGCCTTTTCTGGCACATTCGCTCATTACATCATCGGCAGCTACTTAAATGTACTGAGACCCCAGAATGTGAGAGAAATCGTTGGAAGGCTGTGCTAAGATTTTAATATTAAGAGGGCTAAACTACACGTAGGTGTGCATGACGTTACTTGAGGAGACGTGAAGAATAACCCTTTTCCAATAAATAAGTCATTTGCTGAGAATTCACTCTAAGACTCGTTCACACTAAACTTCCCTTGAATCTTTGCCGTTTAGTTTATGCGTGAATGTTGTTTTGGTATCAATGCTATGAGAATATGTGTGAAATTGGGTGAAATTGGCGATTTGACGTGAATACGCGCAGGGCTTAGTCGTATGTGAAATCTGATGACCCGATTCTACCTTGTCTCTCTCGGTCCTGATGACCGATCAACATCCCAAACTGTAAGCCAAGACTGGTGTGGTTAGGTGGCTTGATTTGCGATCTTAATTCCATTAGGACAAACTAATCCACAAAGCACCAGTTTTAACTTATGGCTCGGTCTACACTGTACGCTTTTATGAGCCGTGACGCTGTGCAGCATTGCCTTCCTTCTTTACGAGTTATTTCATTTCGAACGCAATTTGCATTGTCATGGTAAAGTGAATCTTTTTGTTTTGTTTTGTTTTGTTTCTTTTGAAGGCTCTACTTCCTCCATTCTGTCGAGTGCGGGCCAGATCTCAATTCCCAGACAGATGCTGGGTATCGCTAAGGTTTTTTATGACATGTTTGACAAACGGCATCCGAAATGAAAAGAAAAGTGCGAAAATGAGAGGCAACTAGATCTCTACACAATTCTTCATTTTAACACTTGCACATCAAGGCGGTAAAAATCCACATTTTCTATGATAATGATTATATTTTATATTATTATATGTATTACACCATTATGCGAGCCAAATGCTGCATGGAGACAAAACCCTTGATTTAGTGGATCACGTTCTGCAGAGTCGTAATCCATCGATCTGAATTCAATTAATTTAGCCTGCTGGTCACTGGACTTGTAATGAGCTTGCAAATGTTAGAACTTGAATATAATAAAACCTATGAAGAGTTAACAATAATCCTCACACAGAACTTTCAAACTGGTAATGTTCTCTTACTTGGACAATCGGGTCTCTGATAGGCAGTTTAGTTACACTTCTTACGCTCTCATTATTCTTGCTAGCAAATGAGATTCTCGATAATGGATAAGTTATCATTCTCTTAAATGCGGCACGGAATTTCTTCTTAAGGTATATCAGGAGCCACGGGTTAACAACGCTGTTTGCATGTCCACACCAATAGCATAACAGCATAAAATAATATGGCAGCGATTCCCGCACACTAAAGTCAATGGCCAAAATCATATGATACGCATGCGCTGGAAGCCAGCAAAGTGCAAAGGCAACAACGACAGCGATCGACATATGAATAACTTGACGCTTGGTAGCATGGGCCCGAGTTCTTGCGTGATTGTTGATGGCAATGCCCGGCAGTTTGTGCTTGTGCAGTGTGTGACAGACGTGTCCATAGAGAATGCACATGGTAACTAGGGGCAACAAGTAGATGGTGACTACGATATAAAGAAAGATACCTCTCAAAGCTGCTTGAGTCTCACCAAACTGAGTAAACTTAAATTCTATCCTGGAGTTCTTAACTTTGACTGTGATCAGCCATGGAGTCATCAGACACATTGAAGTGATCCAAATTGTGGGAACCAAGATCTTTTTGTTCCTAAAGCGAGGGAACTTTTGCATGGGAAGGACAATCCCGAAGAAGAAGTCAAAAGCCACGGCTGTTAGAGAGAAGACGGACGCTGTGACCGCCACGAAGAAAACAAACATGATGAGCTTGGCAAGTAATTCACCAAATGTTCCATCGATCCACAGATTATCCAAAATGATTAGTTCCATCGACTGAGGCATGACAACAGCTGTTACGAGTAGGTCGGCCACAGCGAGGTTGACGTACATGAAGCTTGTTAATCTTCTTGTTTCTGGCCTCTTGTACAGAATATAGATCACCAAAATGTTTCCAACTAAGGCCATTGAAATGATTGCAGCGTATAAGATGGCGAAGGTGAGTTTAATACTTGATGGATACGAGAATGGAGGCTGCGCCGTGGAGCCTGAAAGAGAATGAAGTACCATGGTTAAAGCAAAAACAAAGGAAATAGGTCTGCAACGCGCGCGTACACCGAAAGGCGACATAGATGGTGACAATATGCAGTAATAATTATTGGAAAAACATCCATTAAACCCAAGCTTTCTCCATCATTAAAGAGTGCATCAATCATGTCATAAGGGGATATGCAATTGATAGGAGGAAAATGTCAAAGCTGTTTGTGCTTTGCGTTTTTCACAAGTACTGCAGCAGCAACAATGGTAGCGTTAGCTATTTTTAGGACACTTTCAGGCGCTATTTGTGAAGGTGGTTTTCCTACCGTTATCAGCCTGCGAGGACGTCAACATTTTTGGATCTGCAGCTTCCTAGTCTCTACTGTTTGAAGAAGTCAGCATAAAATATCTGAATACTTGGTTGACGGGATAAGCTCAGCTCTAAAAAAGCTGAGTCTTTATTTCACTCAACGTTGCGTTCTTTGAATATTGGGTCTGCCAGGAAAAAAAGTGAATTTCAGGTTATCATTGTCAAAATTACAAAAATCTAGATGCTTACCACAAACGGCGCTGTTCAGCTAGCCTGCTTAACAGCCTCTTTCAGTTGATTTTTGTTTGTTTTTTGTATTTGTTTTTGTCTTGTTTTGTTTTTGTTGTTTTTATTGGTCAAAAATGTGCTGCAAATTTTTTTCAGAACTAAAATTTTGTCAATCAGTTATTTCGATAATGAGGGAAAAACCTGAGATCCGAGATAAAAATACCAGCAATCGTGTGATACTGAAAGAAAAGTGGGTAAGTTTCGATTTCAAGACGTCAAGTCGAGGAATTTTTTGCTCGTCATTTGCAGTACGTGTCAAACTTCGTCTTTTTTAATCATCGTAAACCAATTTTTGGATATTCTTATCATATTTTAAAGATATTCTCTCTCCCTAAAAATAAATGATAGATAAAACAATCAAAAAAGTGAGAAAACTGCCTTTTAAAAAGACAAACCCACCCCCAGGAGAGCTTTCCATCTTTATTTAGAATTTTTAGCATAATAGAAAAGAATCGATAAATGGCGTTATGCTCTGGTAAGGATAAATAATGAGGCATGTTTTGCTTGAAGTTGCTATGAATTGGTTAAGGCCAACTAAAAAAAAATTCAGGTTCTTGTGTTTGTTTTGTCAAGAAAAAACGCTTTGTGTGAAAGATTGCAAGATGCTTGTACATTGTCCGTCAAGTTTCTTTTCTTGTTTGTTTAACCTTGATCCTGACAACTCGTTACACCTCGTTTCCCTTTCAAAAAGGTCTCGAATCAATATTACTGAGTGATGAATAACAGTCTTCGAAAGCGTTTGCAAGACGTTTATACTCACCTTTTCCCCACGAACACGGGGGTTTTCATCTTTCAAATATATGTGCTGAGAATCTTGAAGTAATTTCCTTACTTCCTAGGCTCGTAGTCTTTTGCATCGAGATTTATTCCTCACATGGAAATGAAGGATATAAAGTTTGGCTTTCTGTGCATCAACTGTTTATAATTGGCCGTTTTTCCTTAGTTCTTTGCTGGAATTATCCGGTCATAAACCCATTGACGACGACAGCTTAGTTAAAGAGATGAAAATGGAAAATAAAAACTTAGCTAAGAAACTTTACTCTTGGGGAAGCCATTTGCCACCCAAATTATCGAATGATCGAAGCGCCAATTTTATGTCAACCTTTTTTTTTCGTCATCTAAGTTATTTTAGAGACGATTTCAGCGGATTTATCGCATAACGATAGAAAAAGATGATGAAAAACACATGGACAGTAAAAGTCATAAAAGTAAATCAAATTATCAAATAAAACAAAGGTGCTTTATCTTTCCTTGTACTATTGAGAACCCGGTTTGACGTTGTGATATATTCGTTCCTACAAGGGAGAACTAAGACTGACTAAAGAAAAAATTGGGAAAGTGGTTTTCTACCTTCAAAGATATCTTGATTCAATTATAATCACGTAGATGCAAGAGTTCGCATTCCAAGTTTACATCTCGAGGGTCCTTTCGGCTGCTAACATGGCTTAAGCATGATCACTTCATTACAACGACGTTTGCCCGTAGGGGCTTTATTTTAGCCGTGTAGAGCAAAGTGCCCATCGAGGCAAATCATGGTTCGTTCCGTCGTCTCTTTGTTACGAGTATTTATTTTTCATTTCATTTGAAGGCCAACTTACTTTTAATTATGGCGGGAAATTAAGTTCCTCATGAAGCGTGTTAACAAACTCGAGGCAGTTAATATTCGAAGTTAGAGTAAAAGACGATTTTTAGGAGAAGAGAAAGTTGATGTACCGCAATGTACACTGGGATTCAGAAAAGAGCGAGACCATGTCCTTTGTTGTTGTTATGCAAGAGAGACTTTTATTTTTTCGAGCTCAATGAATTTTATTTCTGAATTCATGCATGGGTTAACAACGCTGTTTGCATGTCCACACCAATAGCATAACAGCATAAAATAATATGACAGCGATTCACGCACACTGAAGTCAATGGCCAAAATCATATGACACGCATGCGCTGGAAGCTAGCAAAGTGCAAAGGCAACAACGACAGCTATCGACAAATGAATCACTTGACCCTTCTAGCTTGGGCCCAAGTTGTTGCACGATTGTTGATGGCAATGCCCGGCAGTTTGTGCCTGTGCAGTGTGTGACAGACGTGTCCATCGAGAATGCACATGGTAACTAGGGGCAACAAGTAGATGGTGAATACGATGTAAAGAAAGATACCTCTCAAAGCTGCTTGAGTCTCGCCAAACTGAGTAAATTTATAAGTTAAACGAGACTTACCTGTAAGTTGAAGTTTGACTGTAATTCTATGAGATACCAGTCACGAACTAGGGAGTCACGTGAGATATGTGCGAGTAGCCCGAGCGATCAGTCTTTAAAGGCGAATGATTGCAAACAATAATGGGTGGGAAGTAATAAGATGAATGTGCTACATAGTCACCAAGTGAAGGGGTAGGGCACGTGACTCCCTAGTTCGTGACTGGTATCTACAGTCAAACTTCAACTTACAGGTAAGTCTCGTTTAACTTATAAATTCTATTTCGACACCAGTCCTACTCACTAGTGAGTCACGTGAGACTTAAAAGCAGTGCAATTATGAGCAAAGAAATAAACACAAACAGGTTTATTTACCAAAACTATGTGTACAAAACAACTACTGCAATATGGCTTGTCAGTCTATGGTGCACAGAGTGCACTTCAGGAAAGAAGGCAGTAAACAGTAAGCTGCCAAGTTCCCAGATTCATTGTCATAGGGAGTCTGCCTATAATAGGCAGCAACTAAATAAACACAACAAACATGTGGTAATGAGTACTGGTTAACAGTAACAAATGTCTTGTAACAATCCTATGTGTGGAGGTTCTCCAATAGGAGTTGTCCATAAGCTTTACTTGATGTGACGATGGGTTTCCTGTAGAATCTCCCAAAGGTTGTCGCATTCGACCAGCCTGCGTTATCCATGATTGTAGACAATGGAACCTTACACTTTGCAGCTGCAGATGCAGAAGCTGCCCTGGTGCTATGTCCCTTAAAGACTGAGGTATCTATTCCTGACTTTTCAAGAACCGTTTTTAGCCATCGAGAAATCGTGTCAGTTGAAACTGGCTTGTGAGGATTTTGGAAACTCGCTAGCAGCTGGTCACTCCCTTTCCTAAGATGACTTGTCCTTTTGACATATTCAGATAAGCAGACGATAGGGCACAGACGGTTGTCTGGTGAGTAGGCTGTGAATGTTAAGTCTCACACATGCTTTCCTGGCCGAGAGGTCTTCAAAAGTTTGTTGATGATGAATACACAGCTATCGTCCTTCAATATCATATGGCTAACAGAAAGCAAATGCAGTGTCTGACACCTCTGCCCTGATAACAAAGCTAAAAGCATTGTCGTTTTGAACGTGAGATCCTTCAAAGTTAAGCCCGGAGGTGGGTGAAGGTTTGACAAGTAAGCCAGGACAGTGTTGACATCCCAAATGTTCTTGTATTTAGAGAGGGAAGGTTTCAATTCAAACACGCCTTTGAGGAAACGACACACCATGGGGTGGGTACCAAACGACATATTGTTAGCCAATGTAACAATAGATGAGATGGCACTCCTCGCAGTGTTAATAGCACTGTATCCTATGCCAGAGTCATAGAGTTCAGCAAGAAAATTGATTCCCTCCTCTACAGGGGGACAAATGGGATCAATGCTCCTTGTACTACAGTAGCGTCTCCATTTCTCAAGGTAAGTAGCATATTGCTTTCTAGTGCCTGACCGCCAGGAGTGTTCCATGACTGTGGTAGCTGTTGTCGAAAGGCCTTTGCCGTTGAGGTATCTCCGGACAAGTGACACAGAATCAGGCACAGTTTCTTGTGAAGTGGATGAGGTTCCTGTGGGCTGCTGGGTAGGAACAGAGTGTCTCTGTCCTTTGGAAGCTGTACTGGTGGTTGTATTAACATCTGCATTAACTTGGGCCACCACGGTCGAGTTGGCCATTTTGGGACAAGTAGAAGCCCTGTTGCCTTCTCCTCTTGAATCTTTTGAAGAACTCTTGTTATCAGGCTAAATGGTGGAAAAGCATAAAATAAGTAATGTTGCCAAGACATGTGAAAAGCATTGATGGCAAAAGCTTCTGGGTCTGCTCTATAAGAGACATAGGGCGTGATCTGGCAATTGATCCTAGACGCAAATAGGTCGATGTTAGGGGTAACATTGAGCTTGGTACAAGCCCTTGCAAAGAGAGTTTTCTTTAAGCATCATTCAGTACACCTCCTAAATGTACGCGACTCTTTGTCTGCCTTTACATTTTCACACCCTGGTATACGAGCCATAGTCAGCCATATATCGTGCTTAATGCACCAATCCCATATGTCTTTAGTTAGCTTGTTTAGCTTAGGGGAGTGGCTTGTACCCATCTGGTTAATAGTTGATTCAGTGGTAGTATTATCGACCATGACCTTAACATGTTTGCCATGAGTCAAAGTACTGAATGATTTTAAGGCAAAGAATACAGCTAACATTTCGAGAAAATTGATGTGCTCCTTAGCCTCTTCAACAGTCCAAAGTCCCCCAGATGAAGAATCACTGGTTGCTGCACCCCACCCCTGTTTTGAGGCATCAGAAGTAATGGTAATATCTACTTCTCCTCAATTTATTGGGTTGGATGCAGTCTCGATTGATTCAATCCACCACTTAAGCTCTTCACCTGCTTGGCTGGATATGCACATTGTGGCATCAAAGTTCCATTTCCTAGCATTAAGAGCTATAGATTTATCTCGTTCTAAATAGCGGTAGTGAAGGGGTCCATAGGCAACGCCAGGAAAGCTAGATACTATAAGCCCAAGGACCTTGGCTACATCCCTAATAGTAGGCTTTTTACATTGCAACATAACAGTAGCTGCCTGTTCTAGCTTAACAGCCTTATCAGGTGTAAGGTAGACTTGCATGTTAACTGAGTATAGAGTAAAACCCAGAAATACCAGTTTTTGAGTTGGGATGAACACCGACTTCTCAGGGTGTACCACAAATCCCAAACTGTCTAATAATTTTACCGTGTCAACCACATTTTTTGCACAATCATCCCAGACTGTCCCCATCAACCAGGAGTCATCTATGTAACCTGACAATAAGTGGCCAAGCTGTCGAAGGGTGGCAAAGACTGGTTTCATTAGCTTGGTAAATTTCCTAGGGCAAAAGGCCAACCCATTGGGAAAACATGTAAACTGAAATAACATGTTGTTCCACTCAAATTTGAGGTACTTCTGTTGTGGCTTTGCAATAGGGACCGAATAGTAAGCATCTTTTAAATCGATGGACGCCATGTAACAATTTGGGGTCATGAGCCTAATTGCTGTCCAGACCGAGTCCATTTTAAAATGTTGGTATTCAACATGCTGGTTAAAGCTTTTAAAATTTAAGATCATTCGAGATGATCCATCTTTTTTATTTGTCACAAAAGTAGGCGAAATATATTCTCCACTTTCATGTTGAGTGGGTACAATGACACCTTTGTCAAGCAATTTTTTAATTTCAGCTTCAATAACTAGTGAGTCACTGATGTTGAATGTTTTCCTTTTGGAAACCAAGTTTTTTGTGGGCTGTGTGGAAAATTCAATGTACTGACCCCTAACACAGTTAAGGACTTCCGAGTCGGAAGTTAATTCTTTCCATTTACCAAGGAAATGTGTCAGTTGGCTACCCCTGAAGCTTTGCACCTTATTCGCAAAGATATGTTTCATATTGGACTCAAACAAGACAAGATTATTTACCTGTAAATTATCAAGTGTGTCAGCGGAAATCATTGCTGCTTCTTCCCTTGGTCCTGTTGTCGGAAGAAGGGTTTTTGAAGTGGCTTCGAGTTCCACTGACAGCCTTTGGCCAAAAAAGGCTTGCTTCGCCGATCAAATTTTTTGGTAGTTTCTGGAAGGGTGTCCCTTCGAGTTTTTGTGGCGATTCCCAACTGCTGTGGAGCTTACTCTGTTGGATGCTCGTATATTATTCAGCTGGGTTTGCAGGTCGTTTCCAAACAGCTGAGCTGTTACAGGAACATGGGAAGCACACAGACCAGCATAATCTTTGTTCAGATGCGGTTTGAGCGACTCCCTGCGACGGTGGGACAGGTCGATATGTGCGTGCCCTAGGAGAGCGACCCCATCGGTGTTCACTTTGACAAGTTTCTGAATCGGCTGCTTCGAATTCTTCATTTCTAGCAGCATCCCAATGGATTTGCACATTGCAGCACCAGCTGTGGCAATCGTTTTCTGGATTGAGCTGGACCTGAGGTCCTGCTGTTTCACTGAGTGGCTCAGTTTATCCCAAATTTCAGGATTAACCCGCGGTGTTGTGAGAGTCTCACAGTTCGCCGGGCGTAAATACTTCGCCGACTTATCCTTTAGTTTCGAGTCTGGCAATTTCTTAGACCACAGGTTGTTGATAAAGTCCGCCAGTTGTTTCTCAATAGCCGGACCTGAGTCGTCTGCATTGAGAAAATCCTCTGCGATTTCTGACAACAATGGGTCATTGCTGCCATCGTTTTGCTCAAGTGGAGCACGTGGTTTATCCTTGGAAATTCCGTCGGTTTCAGTGCCACAAAGGGCCTGCAAGTCTGCGTCAGAGTCTTCTCCATCGTGCTCTGAACCATCGGAGGCACTCATTTCGTCTCTGGAACAGTGTTTACGCCGTTTAGGGTCGATTTGTTCGTTTGTGTGGCTGGAGTGAAGACGCTTCAGCGACTGCTGCACGGCGATCACCGAGTCTGCCATTGCTCCGAGGTTTCTGTTCACATTTTGCATCATACTAAACATGGGATCCGGGTGGACATCAGTTGGAGTCTTTTCTTTAGGGTCCGTTTCAACGGTTAAGAGTTCGTCCTCCGCCTCAGTGGAAAGTATTTGATCATGTTCGTCCGCCATAATCCAAGCACTGGAAAAATACACGACCGGCCGCTCTGGAATTACGCGCGCAACTGATCGCTCGGGCTACTCGCACATATCTCACGTGACTCACTAGTGAGTAGGACTGGTGTCGAAATAGAACTTAAATTCTATCCTGGAGTTCTTAACTTTGGTTGTGATCAGCCATGGAGTCATCAGACACATTGAGGTGATCCAAATTGTGGAAATCAAGATCTTTTTGTTCCTAAAGCGAGGGAACTTTTGCATGGGAAGGACAATTCCGGAGAAGAAGTCTAAAGCCACGGCTGTTAGAGAGAAGACGAACGCTGTGACCGCCACGAAGAAAACAAACATGATAAGCTTATTTTTTATTGGTCAAAAATGTGCTGCACTTTTCAGAACTAAAATTGTGTCAATCGGTTATTTCGATCATGAGGGAAAAATCTGAGATCCGAGCTTAGTTAAAGAAATGAAAATGGAAAATAAAAACTTTGCTAAGAAACCTTACTCTTGGGAAACCACTTGCCACCCATATTATCGAATGATGGAAGAGCAAATTTTGTGTCAACCTTTTTTTTCGTCATCCCAGTAAGCTATTTTGAAAGATGGTTTCGGCGTATTTTTCGCATCACGAGAGAAAAAGATGATGAAAAACACCAGGGCAATAAAAATCTTTAAAAAAGAATAAAATTGACTAGTAAAACAAAATGCTTTAGTTTCCCTTGTGCTATTGAAAACCCAGTTTGACGTGGTGAAATTCGTTCCTAAAAGGGAAAACTAAGATTTGTAACTGCTTCCGTTGAAGCTAAGTGTTACCGCTTCCGAGAAAAGTTGCGAAATATTTTCTGGTTAGGTTGACGCCCCCATGATTAGTTCTTTTTAGACAGAAAATTATAGTTAGCGTTTTAGTTCAAGATAAGACCCCGTGTGATCAAGATCGTTTTTGAATAGAAGACAAGTTAGACCGTAATCCTCGATAAAGTAATCAAGACTCGCGAACGTTGGAAAGCAATAAATTATTTTGAGATTATGTTATCTAGCTCGCAGTTGTTACTCAAAGCGAAATTTATTGCTCGTTTTTACCTTTCTTTGGGTTCCTTTAACTGCCACGTGCTGGTTTCCAAAATCGAGATTATTCTTAAGCTATGATCACAATACTCAGGTGATTTCTTTACGTAATAATTTCAGTTGACCGCTTCGATATAATAACGCCCCAAGGAATAGGAAAAGGAATAAAGAAAGAAAAGATCCTATTTGGTTTGGTGTTTATCGCATGCGCGTGTATCAACCCGGGAATCGAGTTTGCAACTCTAGCTTGAAAAGAAACATTTACGAGATTTACTAAAGAAAGATATATTGACTCAATTATAATCCCGTAGATGCAAGAGTTCGCATTCCACGTTTACATCTCGTCCCTTCGGCTGCTAACACTGATGGATAAAGCATGATCACTTAATTATAACGACGTTTGTCCGTAGGGGGCTTTAAATAACAGAAAGAATCTCAAAAAGACGCCGTGTATTTCCAGCCAGAGGACAATCATGAAAGAATAATAGCCAAAAGAGGAAAATTTTTAAGAAATTAAAGGTTCAAACACGAGTTGAAAATGACTTTTCTTTTTCATTTTTACGCGAAACAGAGGAGGTTGAAACGTTAGGGGGAAAATGGTGGGGCAAGCAGTCATACCTGGCAACTTCAAGAGAAGATATAAGAGAAGCCCATACGATTCTGGCGTCTTGATTTACTAATTCACTGTTATCACGTGTACACTCTTCAATCGACTGCTGATGTCTAAACTCGAAGTAGTTAAAAATTATCAGTCACGCTCAAAAGAGTATAATTTCAACTGATGCTGACATCGCACACTTCCTCTGAAGAAGAAAAGATTCTCTATCTTCGAAAATTTGCTCAAAACATCAGGAACAACAACGAAGGTCCTCAGCTGCTCGGAGATACCGCTGACTAGCATGCGTTTTATCGCAAGTTGTGAGAACGTCGTCCCCAGGTTCCAGACCTCGCCAATTCTTCCCTTCCCTCCCCACCCCCGGACTGTTCTCTTAATCCCCTTGAAGAAACTCTTCTACAGCCAGTGCTGAAGAGTTTTATTACAGTTTTATCATAATGAGGGGCTAGAAAATAAACTAACAAGAACTCCGCTTTTAGGCTTGGATAAATCTATCTATCAGAAGTAATAAAAAGTTGCGATTGTCTTTAGCCGGCATAGTATTATATCAGAGGAAAGATAAGTCGGGGAGATATATGCCATGGTCAGTCGATCTGGATTGAAACACTTCAGCAATTCAGCAATACAGTGGATCAGAACATTGATAACAGAGGCATTTACAACTTATCCTTCTGTTGCATCTTGAAATTATCGATTCAGTTAAAAAAATGTTGTTTCCTCGAGCGCTGGTGTATTTTATAACTGCAAAACATCGACAAATCCTAACTGACTCCTTTGTTATCGTGATGACAAACTCGAAGGTTCCCCTAGACAAACACGCAGTTCTAAACAGACCGATAAAGCATGCGTCAAAGACGCGACCAGCTATAGCTTCGTCCGTAAGTGTGAAAAGTTGAGAATGTGGATATCTCATTTAGTGATATACATGAAGATGCTATTTCATAGATGCGGCCATCGCTTAAGTCTGATAGCGTCATCCAAAAGTTTAATGAGGATACGGAATGGTTTCAATCCAAACTGACTTGATAATCAATAAATAGTCATAAGATAAGCCTCTAGTCTTTTTATTGCAGATATTAAATAGAGTGTCTTACATTGTCTATCGTGTTTGGATAGTGTACAAAATTAAACGCTCATACGTGCTCTCATTTCGTCCGGTTTTTAAACAAGCATTCCATTTAACATAACAAAATTGTTCCGTCTACCACAGTATGAACCCTTTACATGGCGTTTATTTTCTCATACGAATCGAAAACACTTAAGAAAATTATAATTTGAATTAACTCACACTCTATTAAGACGGTTCTCTCCGTTTATGACAAAAGCATTTGATACTAGCAGCAAAATGGTAAATGTCAATAACAATGCTCTCGCTTGTTTTCAAATAAAGGTAACTTGAAAGTTAAATAAATCACTAGAAGTGATGCAATATGTAATTTAAAGAAGATACTTCGTCAAGTGATAAGTGCTAGTTAATACCACACGACTAATTCATTACCAAACTACAAAATTTTACCAAATTTCAAATCGCCGTTAGGAGATCTCTTACTACGTCTGCTACAAACAAATTTACTAAATGGTTTCACAATACAACAATGAAAAGCTCGCCAAGTACAGCTATCGGCATAAACGAGCCGTTTTTCAAGTACGTTGTTTTTTGTTTCTTTCTTTGTTTCTCTTCTGATTTAATCGATTACGGAAGTTTAATTCATATCTATCCAAATTTTGTTATTCTGAAACCGATTAAATTATTTATTATTGGCATCCTTTAAGAATTAATTAATTGGGTTTTGTGCTTTTATTATTATCATTTTGTTAATCAAGGACAAAGCTTTCACATATTCTTCTAATATTAATATTGAGAGAAATTTAACTAACACAAACCTACACTTAGTTTAGCACCGAGAGGTGACGATTATTTACCCTAACGACGGTCACTGGCACTTCTTCCCAATCCCTTAGCTGAGGCCTTCTTTGCAACTTCCTCACTTGGTTCTGCATCTTCATCTCCGAGATCTTCAACCTTCTTTGCAACTTCCTCACTTGGTTCTGCATCTTCATCTCCGAGATCTTCAACCCTGGAGTATTTTGCCTTGTCATAAGCGCCCATGTCAAGAAGTTCCAAATATGTCTGAAAAGGAAGTAACAAATGAGAGTTACACATTAGCCGCACAGCGTTAAAATACAGTAAAGTCGTGCTGAAAAGTGCGATCACTTCCCCGGCGTACTGAGAATCTCTGTGGTTTAAAGTCGCGGATATACTAAGCGAGTTTCTTATTTCCTCTCTGAAAATAGTGAAGTTGCAAGTAGGTGAATAGAACTGAGCCGATTTATGCCCTGGGGACGATCACAACCGACGTAGATATCAGAAGCAGCCAACAAGTTGAATTACTCGTAAATGGCCTTACGGGCTGCAAAATGTCTCTCGCCAGGAGTATGAAAGGTCTCAGCTGAAGCTTTCATAGAGCGAATGGAAATAAAACCAATGCTAGCAAATATTGCTTCCAACATATGGGGGCAAGGTAAGAAGTTTGAAAAGTTGTATAGTCTTTAAAATGCATAAAATATTGGGAATTTGTCAATTCTAGAGACAAACCTCTTCACGAATGTATTTGTCCATTCTTTGTCGCAGGTTTTCAAAAGGAGGACGGAAGTCAGGGTTTCGATTCCAGCACCTTTTCATTATATCATACCTGAAATTTAAAAACGATGATCTACTCTTAACTACTTACTAATGGACTATGCGAAGAATACCAATAAGGTCCTCCTACAGGAAACTGTTATTGAAAATAGTATAGGCAATAGTTCAGATTTTTTTTGGGACGTCGAACATATCTGCACTACTTCACTCGCTCTGATGTTTTTTAAATACATTTTGATGTCATAATTGTCTACGCCGTATCTCAGCTGAATGCGGTATGCTCCTGGTTGACATTCACGTAACAGAAAGCTTCTGATTGTAACCCAATTGTTTTATTGCAAAGATTTCAGCAATGAGAGCGCTAAATGTGTTGTCTTCGATCTAAGGTTATTTTTAGGAACACGATGGTATCATACTAGAAAAGTGCGACTCACAGTTTGTTGTCAACATGATCGGGCTTTGGCATCTGATATCCCTTTGTGACCTCTGCAATCACCATGGCTTCTGACCATCTGTCGTACGGAATTCCTCCTGTCAATGCATAGGGACGAGTGTATGTCACATTTCTGAATGTATCAACTCTACAATGACCGTGGCTGAGAAACATTGTTCCTTCTCGACCTCTTTGTATGAGGGAAGCCATCTGCATGTACATTTACATAGCTTGATGATGCTCAAATCAAATTTTGCTGAATGCAGTACTGCAGTTTAATGTTTCCTTTTTTCGGTCCGAGTTGATGTTAGTCTCTGATAATTGAATAATGCTTAAGCCATAGACTTATCGTTTGCTTTGCATTTACTGAGATTAACAATCAAAATAGCTTGTTACATATTAATCTATATATATATATATATATATATATATATATATAAGATTTGTTTTAACATACTACTTGGCCATATATATAAATATATATATATATATCTATATATATATATATATATATATATATATATATATATATATATATATATGTATGTATGGCCAAGAAGTATGTGAAAACAAATCTTTATTAAAATAACAGTAATTAAAATAGCATCACTTCTATAGCGCATGCACATCGCTGTTCTAAGCGTTAAAGGTATTGATTGAAAATAACTTAGCTTACCAAGGGTAACTATCTCATACAGAACGATTCCATAGGACCACCTGACGGGAGCATATCAGAAATATTCTACAATTAATCGCTGAGAGAACTTCGGACGTGAAATGATAAAGAAAAATCCAAAGGTGATAGGTTCGTTAGGTTGGCGGGTTGATATACATAACTATACATACACGTCACTCAAGGTGGAAAGTCCAGCAAGCTCTCCTAGCAGAATCTCTGGTGCAGTCCATTTGATTGGCAAACGTCCCTGGAAAATCAACCGATAAATGATTTCCGTACAAAACTTATGTCCCTTTTTTTTCAAAGCCATCTTTAAAAAATATGAAGCTACATAACGTAAATATGTTAAAATGTGAAAAGAAAGCTACATTTGTCGTTCCCTTATCGGTCAATCCAAGGTTAGCCTTCGTAAAGCGGTCACGGAAAACAGAAAATGTACCTTCTTTCGCGAGACTTTCTACGAAAAAAATTAGTGAAATTGACAAATCCCGATGCCCGGAGTACCTATCCTGTTAAATAACTAACTCTATGCTAACTCAATTAGCATTGGTAATTAGTCCCTAGGGATTTTGGATATAGTAGATTGTTTTGTATCACTCCTTGTCACTTCACTTGAGGCCTTGGGCTGTGTACTGCTTGAAGCGTTCTATAACTTTTTTCGACGGATCAATCCGACATGGCGGAACAAGTTCCCCAAGCCGTTGCCGGTGGAGCGATAGCTCAAGTTGTTCAAAATCCTCAACCTGCTCAAGGCGAACCTGCCGTGGCGCAGCAAGCTCAGGACCAACCTTTGGCACAACAAGCTCAGAATCGAGAGGTATGCATCTTTTTCTGTTTCGGATACCATGTGGTTGATTATATTTCAGTGGCTAATTTTTATCGGTAGAGTTTAGATTTGGTTTACTTTCTGTAGATGTGAAATTGTGTCAGGCCTGCGGGGCCGTGAAAGTTTTTTCTTTGCCTGCGGGGCCGTTAAAGTTACTTGCCTGCGAGGCCGTGAAAGTTTTCTTTGCCTGCGGGGCCGTGAAAGTTTTTTCTTTGCCTGCGAGGCCGTGAGAGTTTTCTTTGCCTGCGGGGCTGTGAAAGTTTTTCTTTGCCTGCGGGGTTGTGAAGTTTTCTTTGCCTGCGGGGCCGTGAAAGTTTTCTTTGTCTGCGTGGCCGTGAAAGTTTCTTTGCCTGTGGGGCTGTGCTGAAAGTTTTCCTTTGCCTGCGAGGCCGTTTGGATTTATTTGCCTGCGGGGCCGTGGAAGTTTCCTTTGCTTAGGAGGCCGAGAAATTTTCTTTGTCTTCGTAGCCGCGAAAGTTGTTTTGTCTGCGGGGCTGTTAAAGTTTTCTTTGTCTGCGGGGATCAAAGTTTTTTTTTTTCTTTGCTTGCGAGGCCGTGAAAGTTTCTTTGTCTGCACTGTCATTTAAATTTTTTGTTTGTGCTTCTGGGGTCGAAAATAGTTTCGGTGTTTTGCTTTTTGGAATGAAATGCTTTATGTTCACCTTCGGTTGAGGTAGTGTGATGCTGGCGCGCAAGAATAAATTTTTTCTCCTTTAGCCTTTTTTGTTTTTGTGGCTTGAATTTTACTTTGTAGCCCCTCGTTTAAGAAATTGCTTGCTGATGTAGAAAGTTCTGTTGCCGTGCTTTGCTTCGTTGGAGTGTGATGCCTGAGCATCAGTCGCCGTTCATTTGCTTGTGCAAGCTTACGTGTAGTAGCTTTTAGTTGTACGGTATGTAAAAAAGAAAAAAAAAAACGAAAGACTGCTCTGCCGTTGTGTGTTTTTAAAACAGTTTTTGGCCTGTGAGGCTAGGAGCGTTCATCGTTTTTGCTGGAAGTTTGAGGTTTTGATAATTTAATTTAATTTTTATTTAATTTAATCTAACCTAATGTAATGTAATATTTCATAACTTGTAATCTAATCGGTGTTGTTCTTTTTCAGCCTGTATTATACTGTGCTCGATCAGTTATGAGATTGAGTAATGGAAAGAAAGGGAATGAATGGATCAGTGATTTTTTATCTTACCTTTTGAAATCTGTTATATAGGAGGAGGGTGATCTTGCTCGTGTCTTAGAGAGACTTAAGAAGTTGGAAGATTCCCAAAAGCAATCTGTTGAATCAGTGTTAGAGGATTTACAGCACCTAATACGTTCTCCGTTGTTCTAGAAGGACCAGGCAATTGATTACCTAGTGAATCTGAAGATTGTGGCCAAGGAAACAAAACACGCGAAAGCTGGATTTTATTCTGCAGTGCTAACGGCAATGCAAAATAAAATGTGGGCCTCAATCATGCAATTTAAGCGCTATCTTGAAGCCCTCTTAGGAGATAAAGAGGATGAAGTGGTACTCAAGCGGATTGCTGCCGTAGATAAAGCGTTGCGAGTGCCTGGAGTTGGTGCAAATCGTTTCATGCCAAGGGGGAGAGGCAGGGATAGATCACAAGTCCAGGGTTTCAGTGTGGCCTATATGGGCATTATCAGAGGTTCTGTCCCTCGCGTCCACAGCCAGGTCCTCAGTCTAAGAGGCCTCGCCTTTATAATCAAGGAGTTTAGGCACCTCAAAAACAATGAATGTATTGACAGGATTAGGGCGTTTTCCCAATGTTTTTGATCAGTTTCCAGTATTTATGCCGTGTGTTTCCCGGCATTAAAGGCTCCCTTTTCATTGTGTCAATCGGTGTCTGTTGTTGTTTCAATTTTAATTCACTCTTGTAAGTTCTGGATCGGGGTAGAGTAGCTCCTGCTGGTTCATCACATATGGTGACCACCAGACGACCTGTTTTCAGGCGAATTGAGGCTGCTCCCTCCTGATCGGGAACCCCAGGTCTTCCCATAGGTGATCTCTCTTTTTGCCATCTTTTCCTTAGATTTTGGGTGGTACTAAGCGTAAAGCTGCTGTGGATAACTTTTACGTTCTTACGGAATTTCAACTACAGACAACGGCAATTAAACCAAGAAACGAGACCCTATGGGTGGATATGACTGGGGTTCCCGTTCAGGGGGGTGCAGCTGTGTGTTGGGAAAGTGTTATCTCATCTGGTAAGGTTCCGGATCTGGGGACTTTACATTTAAGGGATCCGGATTCCTTTGTGGCAGGTGGTCTTCACCGTAATTCAGCCGCATGGGAGCTGGTACTTGAGGGTCATCCGTTGAGGAACTGTATTCTAGATTGGATTAGAAATAAGGTCGACATCTTAAGTTTTTCAAGACCTTTTGCGGGAGTTTTTAAGAGAGCTAAATATTCGTCTGCTGTTCCACCTAAGAAGATTTTCCCGAATCATGTAAACTGTAAAAATTTTACGGAATTTATATCCAAGGAGATTCGGAATCGTGTTTTAACCGGCGCGGTTAGAGTCTGGGGGGTAGTGGGTGTCGATGATCCCCCCCATCTTGTGTTGCCACTCACGGTTGAACCTACGAAGCCTCGACTTTGTATTGACGCGAGGTTTCTAAACCTTTGGATGAAAGATATGCCGTTTTCCCTGGATAAACTGAGTGAAGTGACTAGGTATGTTTATCCCGGATCGTTCATGACCAAGTGCGACGACAAGTCCGGGTATGATCACGTGATGTTGACAGAGTCCTCGCAATCATACTTTGGGTTTAGTTTTGGTGGCCTGTGGTTTGTTTGTACGACTCTTCCGTTCGGATGGAAAATCTCCCCTTATGTTTATCATACCATTGGTCCCTACAGCGCCACAGGTTTCTTGAGAGCTCAGGGGATTCCTTGTTCTCTCTATAACT